CGAGTCATTTGGTTAATCAACTCTACTGTATGTCACAGACATTAATAATACACCTTGGCAATTGTCCAGCTTTCTTAGCACTTCATCAGACTTTTTAGCATCTGATAGACCTTGAAAACACAGCAGAAAATCCCAACACTTTAAAGGACTACCTCAGAGCCTGTCTGTGTTGGAGTAAAACCATTTTTAAAAGTTAAGATGCAGTTTGAAAACGTAGTATAATAAATAAACATGAGAAGCCATGGCTTTATGACCACTAACCTCAGTGCACTAAGATGAAATAAAAAAAAAAGTCTTATTGGGAAAATCAATCAGTAATATAAACATTAATGCACTTATAACAGGCCCAGAGATGGGATTTCCCAGAATCCAGCCATATGTGTCAGGCAGAGGAGTTATGCATACACATGTTGATGTTCTGCTGTGTGGGAGTGGGCTTGAACCCTGATGTGGTCATTGCATCTTGAGCCATGCGTGCACCTGCGCCCACCGGGAGCGTCTGCTTCTCGGAGGGGGTGTGAGTTAGAGGGCTTCTTCTATTAATGGACCATAACGCACAAACTCTGCATGATTCAGCCATAATTAGGCTCTCTGTCACTACCCATCACACTTTTTGCCTTCCTTTTAATCAGGCCATTTTATCGCAACTAATGGGCGCTGAAATCAGCATCCTGAACTGTCACTGGAGCTAACAGGCTTTCTACATGGGGGGGGGGAGGGGACAGCTCCCACCTTACCAGGAAATCCCTGTGTTCATTTATGCTATGTAGCATTGTTTCTCAAATTGAGGGTTGTGACCCAAAAATTAAACTCCATTAATAAAAAAAAGTTAGAAGAGGAAATATGTTGCAATATATATATACAGTATATATTTATTACGCAATATATGCCGAAGATTTTACACAGATATCTATACATGTCATAACACACACAGACTGAACACACACACTCACACAGGAGAGTGTGATCACTGATTAACCCACAAAGCAAGAACAGAGAACAGACAGACCTGACATATATTATATATATTGTTGGAAAACCAAAAGTCTTAAAAGCTACACATACTTCATTCATGAGCATTATTTGACCAAAGTAAATTTATATAAAAAAATAAACACACACACACCCCCATTTCCAGTGTATTCAATCTCAGGCTGCTTTCAGCGCCCCCCAGGGATGGAAGCTACATTATAATTATTATAAAACAGTTTCTGCACAGATCTTTTGTGAATGGTCTTCCAGGGAAGACATTATTATCCTTCCTTTGCCAATCCCCTGTAACCTGGTGACTGAGATTAAACTTCGTTGTGGTTCAGAAACATTAGTCCTAAGGCAATGGCTGACAAAATGTGGCAGGCCAGCGAAGCACAGACGGAGTGAACAAGCCTTTCACAGCCTCAGGTGTCTAAAAACAAGATTGTTCCACCTGCAAATACATGTTTTTCCCCCATATTGAATAAAAAGAACAAGGGCTTTGGTGTACTTTCACCTGAGGATAAACAGTGTGACAACTGGGCTGTGGTGTCATGTACAACAGCTGTGCCTCTGTTGTGAACCCTGCCATTGGTTACACGTGAATTGGTCATCTCTGCTATGCATTCAGTTGCAAGTTTCCCCCAATTATCTGATTCCAAACACCCACTCATGTGCATTGGCAGTTTAGTGCTCATTTGCACCTAGCAACAGGAGACACCAGGCGTGAAATGAAGGTGAAGGATTTAAATTGATGAAAAAGCCAAATTAAGGACTGTACATGCAGCTGCGTATGAAATCCACACTGCACTGTAAGTGGAGTGTAAGCAGAGGTTAATCGACAGTCACCCACGCGAAATTGCATGTCCAGGTGGCAGATGGTTCACTTCAAATCACAGGAATTCGACATGAGGAGCAGCACAGTGACAGAGACATATGTAGAGGTCTACTTTGGCTTCCTGATGGATACCACCTGATGATGCATTTAAAATAAGAGTGAATCATAATTAAATATTAATTAAAACCAATATATTTCATCAGTCCTTTTGAATGTGTTAATTTAAGTTTAATCTATTTTTTATTTATTAGTTTGTTTTTAATGATTAAAATGTGTTTTGGCTCGGATTGGCCAAAGAGTGAAGCTGCTGCAGCATCAATGACAGCTGCGCACCACACAGAAATACTTCCATATTGTCTTAAATGTGAATCTACGACATGACGGTTAAAATCTAGAAGCGATTTGAAAGACTTTTCCACTTTTTCCACATTTTACATTCGGCTGTTTGGTGCCTTCATGGCGCACAGCTGCGCAACACATTTAATGCGCCGTGCGTAAAAGGTGCAAGAAGCTGCATCCTTACCTGTCGTCGGTCTGCCAGTCCCCGAGCAACAGGTCTCTGAACCGGTATCGAGGGGGCAACGGGAGAACATCCTTTTCCAGCTCCACCATGGTCTTCCTCCTCAGTTCTCCTCAGAGACAGAGAAAAATACTAAAGAAAACCGCACCTCCACACAGAGGAGGTGGACTCCCCTTAATCCAACTCCGCTCCTCTTCCTCTTCTGTGGCTATTCAACCCGCAGATGAGTAAAGAACAAATAGACACGTCTCATGGTGCTGCCTTCGACTTTCTCCTCCAAAAACTGAAGACTAGTGTTCTCTACTTCGTCGCCTCCAACATTCGAGGCAACAGGTCGGGGATGCTCAAACGTCGGTGGGTTCAGGGGGAGGCTCCACTTTTCCTGTGACAGCTAGAGAGCAACTGGTTGTCTCTTCTAGCAGCAGCAGCATCAGAAGCGGCAGCAGCAGCATCCTCCCTGAACGTGCTCCGCATGGACGCACAGACTACAAATGTGCAACCAGACGTTGAGGGATAATTAACTCTTAAGACGTTTCGAGAACAATAGAAGAGCAATTACAAAAAACAAGGGGGTGGGGTGGTGAAGGGGGTATGCGCCCTCTTTTGACATCTGCCCTGGGTATCTTCTCCATGAGCATCTCAGTCCACATTCACTTATTTGACTGCAGAGACAGAAAGATTTGTGGGTTTCATCATTCTCACCCAACTCCCTCCAGATAATGAAATGAGACTTTTTCAGAGTCTGTTTAAGTGGGCAGGAAAGTGTCTTAGTGAAATATTCTTGGCGTGGACAACAAATCCAATTTATTTGGTGAAAACACTTAACAGGATTCTTCAGGGATTTGCCAGCTGAGCTCTAAATGCTGTTCCTCCACGGCTGAGCTCACACTTGCTAAATAAAATGAAAACATAATCCAGAAGGAAAAGCAAAAATTAGACAATAATTTTCAATGTCGGAAGTGAGACCTCCAGGCTGTGCTTGAAAACGATGTGAATTGCAGAGGTTATCGTTGTTAATATACCTGAAGAAAGGAAACAGTGTTTGTACATTTGTCTTGTAGCACTGGAGATCCCCGTGGATGATTGTTTTAAATGAATCCCTTCAGTTGTTTCTTTCACAGAACCAAAGACAGTATCTTGTCCTGAAAAACAATAGCAGGGTTTCTACCCTATCTCTGTATTTTCTCAGACCCAGCAGGTAAAACATTCTGATCCATTAGGTGGCAGTATTTCAACTGGCAAGAATCACACATTATTCGTAATGACAGCCTCCAGCAAAAGTACCGTTATAAACCTCCAGTAGCGCTGTAATGGGTAGGGGCTGCATTTCCACCAATGGTTTTATAAAAGCTCATCAACAACACCTTTGGGTACCATCTAATCTGAGATTGGTTTATTTATAGTACACCAATAATCCGAGGCTTTCTGTATATGCCATAAAAACAAATCTAGTGCTAATAACAAATGACTGGAAATCGTTATTGCTTAAGTATAATACAAAAATACTGCACCTAAATATGTCCAGTATCAAATAATGTCTGAGTGGATGATCTAAAAAACAGCTTTGGGACATTCTTTGGAAAAGGCTTGGTAATTGCTGAGGATTACCTCAAAGAAAAAAGAAATAATTGTGGCAAGATTAATTAATGTACTAGTTAATCTGTATTTTTTCTAATGCATACACTAGTGTAAAAGTTTCAGGAAGTTATTTACCTTTACTTTATTTAAAGCAAATGTAGAAAACCTAAATCTCTTTCTCAATCAAAGAGACATATCCATATATATTTCAAGAAAACATTTGGGGCGTGGACTGCAGTTGGAGCAGTGTTACTGTGGCCTTTCGGGTACATGAAGCTTGACAGCAAGCACCGAGGGTTTGATTCCCTACCACCAGGAGGCTACTTCATCCGTGACAGCCTTCTTGAACAGGGCCTAAAACTGGGTAGAACGTCTGGTTCTTTATATTTGCTTTAAGTACTTGGAAGATTAAAAACCTGCACGAATGGGAGTTAGCCTGTTAGCCTAGTTGAGTGCACGTGAGCTTTACACCAACAGTTGAACTTTTCAGTTGTCACATTTCTGGGTGAAACCTTTCGAGAAAACACTGTTGTATCTACAATTGAACATGTGTAATTATGGACAGCTCTGTCACTCCTTTCACGGCTGGCTCTGTCTTTGTTTGCCTGCCACTCGGTGCATATGAGACGTTTAATTTTGTGGAGCCTGCGGTCATAACAGAGGCAGTAATCCAATTCAAATGTGCTGCTTAAGAGGACTGTTGACTGGAAGCCACAGACAACAGGTGCTATTCAAATCAACTGCCAGTAATTAATATTAATCACAGACGCAGAAGCCTTGACAAAGCAGCACCTCTGTGAGCTTTAGACAAAACCGTCACAAAGGATCGGTGCCTGGTAGAGTGATAAGAAAACAAACAACAGATCATAATTTAACATTGTTTGAAAAGATACATAAATTGATTTATTTTTCATATTTTTATTTATTGCTTCAGGGTTTGATTGAGATTCACATTCTAGCAGTAGTCATAGCTAGTTGTTTGAACTCCAGTCATGTTTTACCTGCACTTGTTTTGTCTTTTTTGCCCTCTGCTGGGCACTGGGACAATGACACTTCATTTCAACATGAACTATAGAAACAGTTTTTTTTAAAAAAAACAAACAAAACACCTTATGCAAGCATTTATTTGTGTTTTTCAGGAAACTTTCCTCTGTTTATATACACAACCGCAAAGTGGAAAAAACAAAATGAGTTCAACCTTCAGCCAATAAAATTCATTTCAAGAGGGTGGGTTATGTCTGTAGCCATGGTAACCACAAAAAACTGTCTGAGCATATCTGAAGGTATTTCACATGTTTCAAAACTGATTTAGTCTCACACTGTCATAATGTGAGCTCTGGAGACATTTGACAGGCTGAGTAAAGAAGGTCTCAGAAGACAATTAGACTTTCTTTATCCTTCAGACAAAAAACCTATTTTCTCCCCTGCCAGACACAGCATCTGATGAAAGCATAAACAGTATCTCATATAAAATATTAATCCATAAAAATGTGATTAAAATAAAAAAGAAATAGCTAAAATCTGACATTTTGATCCACTGAGTAGAAAACAATTTTCAGTCCAGTGTGACATTGACGGAGGCCAGGGCGTCCACAGCCCAGCCGGGGTACTGGTCAGGAGACGGAAACATGCGCTTCATGAATGTCCGTACAAACTCAGGGAAGCGGTCTTCAATGATGCTCTGTCTCACTGAGTGCATCAGGGTCAGCTGCAAAGACAAAGGCTTGATGACTTGAGGAAAAAATATAATGTCATTATCCAGCTCTGGCAGCAAATCATCTTCTCTTCTGCACCTTCAACATGTACAGGTCAGCTACAGGTCAGCTCACAGTTTACACGGGGCAATAAGTTACCATCCAGGGTAATGAGGAAGGAGGAATCATGAAAAAGAAAGTCAAAATGGATCAGTTTGAGGTTCAATGTCATTTGTGCTAATTTGATGTGTATTTCTTTAAAAATCTGGACGTTTTGCCTAACTTTCACCAACTTTACTTTTTAGTTAACCTGACGAACGTCTAACTAATTTAATAACAAAAGAAAGATGTTCTTGAAATTTTAAGCTTAAGGTTGTGTTGTTTGGCTAACGCTGCTCTAACTTAGTTATAGTTTGGAATAAAAATGTAACACATTTCTGTTGAACTTCAAACAATTTGGCTAACTTTTGCTAATTAAGTGCTAATGGTTTTCCTTTGAAGAAAATTTTGCAAATTTTGGGCCTTAAATTCAGCTAAATGTTTCTATGTTTTCAAATATTATCTACAGTTAGCTGTGTATATAAACACATGCTAATTATTTAAAAAGAAAAGTATTTTCTAAACTACATTTAGTTTTCTACACTTGTATTGCTACTTGTATTTACTGTATCCTGTCCTTTACAAAAAAATAATGCACCGATATTAAGCCTAACAAAAGAAATTTTGGAAAATTTAGTTTGAATATTCATTTTTGCAGTTTTATTTTCTCCCTATAAATAGAGCTGATCTGTTACTTTGGCTACTGTTCCTGGAAGTGGGCGTCCAGCAGAGTAGACTCCAAAAGCACAATGCTGAATGATCAGTAAGGTTTAAATCAACTCTGGGGATAGAAGCTCCATCCTTTGAAAAGTCTCAGGGGTTTTATTGTCTCTAAATGACTATCAGGAACATGAGTGTTGTACTGTCCATGAAATAACACTACAAAAAAGCTGTTTCTACAAAAAAAAAGAAGAATACAGTACACAAAATAAAATGCACAGAGGTATCTGTACAGCGTGATGCACTCTGAGTTCACCATTCTCGATTTAAAGAGTAAACTTATTTAATTGGTAGAGGCTTTCTGTAAAATGCACAATAGGAAAGGATTTAGTGAAGAAAATTAGCAAAAGAGAAAATCCTGATAAGTGAACATGAAGTGTCATGAGGATTAGGATTTGCGGGCTGTGGCCGAAAAGCATAACCTTATTAAGGAAAATAAATCTCCAGCTTCTCAGTGGAGTGTAGCTGGGTGATGCTGCAGAACAACTGCAGTGGAGGTCCACAGCTGAACTGTAACAAACCAGCAGAGTTGTCACCACTGCCTGGCATCAAACTGTGCTCCCTGTGCACAGGGCCATGTCTAAACTTCTTGTGCAGAAATGTTTATTATTCACATTTCAATTTGTACCAATTGTTTAGTAGTTTTATTTATTATTTAAGTATTGCGCTTAAAGTACCAGATAAAAGCAATGGCTGCAGTAATAAAAAATGGGAAACGGAATATTCATTAATGTAGGGTATTTCTGATGTACTGGTTCTGATGGCTGTAATAGTCTTACAAGTGATGTAGATATGTTTCTTGACCTAACACAAATATTTTCTTAATAATTTTATTTAAATTTAGACAGAACTCACCTGATAAAAAATGTTATGGATGGTGACGTGGTGCATGGCTGCAGTGTCATTCCTGAATAAAGCATGCAGGTACGCTCGACTATGTCTGAAACAGGTCGACAAAAGTGCAAGGTCTACATTTTAGCAAAACATTGTAGCACTGAAAGTGCAAATAATAGCATTTTTTAATATATATATATATATATATATATATTGCTTGTCGTCACTTACGTTTTGCAAGTGGGACAATGGCAGTTTGGGTCTATGGGCTGGAAGTCTTTGGCAAACTGCTTTTGTCTTAATTGGAGTGATCCCCAAGGCACCAAAGCTGAGCCAAACCTCTGAGAGAAGATGAATAATATTGTCTTTAAAGTCAGTTCTTGTCATTGAGGAATCTGTACAATTAAGTACAAAAAAAGAGAACACTTACTGCAGTGCGGGTGGGGAAGACACAGTCAAACATATCACATCCTAGAGCAACACACACTACCAAATCAACGGCATACCTGCAGCATGGTGGATGACATCATCAGACTCAAATTAAGAAAAAATATATCACCACATAAATTAATGTCTACAGGTTTACGTACCCTACACCCATCAGATATCGAGGTTTTTCTCGCGGTAAGTGGTCAGTGCTCAAGGTAACCATCTGCCAGAAGTCGTCCTTCTCCTCTCCTCCACTCAGGCCTCCAATGGCAAAACCAGGGACATCACGCTTTGTCATTTCTGAACAGAGGATACAAAAATCTGAATGTTTGACTATTTATCATCAGTGTCTGTCAGTGAACATAACTCCTCTGCTGCCAGTATTGTCTGACATGTTCTATACCACTCCCCACATTAACAAACTCATTACTGAATCGCTGTCCTAAAATCCACTTTATTTAAACCTGGCAGCCGGTTGATGAGATGTGAAGGAGGGATGAGATTAGAGAAGAACATTTTACCATCCAGACAAGTCTTGCGCAGTTCTGCATTCAAACCTCCCTGTATGATGGCAAAAAGGTTCTGCTTGTCTGGATTTTGATTGGCTGCTATGCAGCGGTCCAGCCAGCGGATGGATCTGTGCATGGCCTCCTCAACCCGAGGTCCTGTCACTGTGCTGCTGACCACATCATCCAGCTGCATCATGATGTCTGACCCTGGACACACACAGAGGCTTTCTATTACTAATTTTATTTTGATACACTTTATATATTTAACAAAAATCAATAAAACCTGTAATGTATACTCCAAGACCATGTGAAGCTTTTACCTAGACAGTTCTGAATGCTGATAGATTCCTCTGGACTGAGGAGAATCTCTTTGCCATCATAGGGTGACTTGAACTTGACCCCTTCCTCAGTGACCTCTGAGAGTTCAACAAGAGACACCATCTGAAACCCACCACTGTCCTGGAAGAGAAACACAACATTGCAACTGTGTTTAGTAACGCTCAGGCTTCGTTGTTACTACTAAGGTATCTCTGTACTGTAACTAAACGCTTAAATAAGTAGCAGAGCTGCAGACATAATTTTCTTGAGATGTCACGAATAACATTTATTTTTAATGTATTCAAAGTTCACTCACCGTTAGAAGATTCCTCTTCCACTTCATGAACCCATGCAAACCATTGGCTTTTGAAATCAACTCAGGTCCCTGTGTAAATCAAAGATCCGAGTCAAATCGGAATGACTATCACTGAAGAATCACATTTTCACTTTTTAACTTTTAAAATCCAAAAGAAAGGCCGGAATTGTTGTGTCGGTTTGCTTCCTACCGGCCTCATGCCTAAGTGATAAGTGTTCCCAAGACAGATCTGGCACCCCAAGCCCTCCAGCTGATCCGAAGTGATTCCCTTCATGGTCCCTTGAGTGCCAACAGGCATGAAAACTGGCGTGATGACGCCACCGTGTGGTAGGATTAGATCACACGCCCGTGCCTTCGTCACAGAACATTCTGCGACTATTCTCAGAGTGAGAGGAGATGCCACAGAAAGAGCTTTCTTTAACGACATGTGCTTTTCTTTAGTATTCGTGTCTCCTCCACACTCCACAACAGCCGCCATATTGCATTAATCACGTGACTAGAATTCGCCTTGAAAGACAGGTGCTTTGACCAATTGGATTTCAGAAGTTTGATCAGAGCGAAGCGCACGCCTTTTCTCGGTCCAATTAAATGCAGCAAATTGTAAATCGACAATGCGATGAGCTAATAAGAAACCTGCTTCCTGAAAGGGAGGCGGTGTTTACCACCGGTTTCGATCGGATGTAGTCTTCGTAACCGGATGGTGTCTGTGTAAAGGAAGTTTTGTTTTGCGAGTTTTACGTCTGCCTCGACTGGCTGGGTGTTAAGTGAACGTACTTAAAAGAGCGCGGAATGATACCAGCGTGAACTGTGTTGATGTTTACCGCTCTTGTATTTTAGAGGAAGTGAAACCCGGAGCTGTCGGAAGCGCGGAACTCGAAGAAACCCGAGAACAGCTTGTTGCTAAGCTAAAGCTACACAGCTAGTTAGCAGCGGTTAGTCATAGACTCGGTTCTGCGTAGTGTTTAGGGGTCCCACAGAGCTGACGAAGCCATGGGGAACCGGGGCATGGAAGACCTGATTCCCCTCATCAATAAGCTTCAAGACGCTTTCAGCTCCATTGGCCAGAGTTGCAACTTAGACCTTCCTCAAATTGCTGTGGTTGGTGGACAGAGCGCCGGGAAAAGCTCCGTGCTGGAAAATTTTGTTGGCAGGTAAAAACGCAAGTGAAAGGGCAAGGATTTGCTCACAAACATGCTTTTTTTGTCGTATTGTCATCTGAAATGTCTGCTAACCAATGGCCAACAGGTGTGATAGGCGTGTCGGTGTCCTGTGACATTGAGCTATTGTTATTTAATTACCAGTAACTGACGTCAGGGAAGGACAAAATTGCCTATATTCTGCCTCAGACAAATTGACAATATAACATGTCTGAAACAAAACGTTGTCAGATGGATTTTCTTGTTGTTATTTGTAAGTTGTTCTACTTTTAGGAGCTGTTTTTTTACATGCAAAGTGTGGAAGCAAAAATACATTTCCTTATTCCTCCTTCCTCAGTTCAGTCTGCTGCCATTACCTCATATGTCACATGTTGCTACCGCCATAAAGTGCTGATTGTGGCACTTATATTAAGTGAATCATTTTCTAAAAAACAAAAATTAACTTTTACACTTCACTATTAAGCCACACCCATCATCGTTCAATATTATTTGGCCCAAAGCTGTCTTTGAGAGTTTAAGTTTGACCTGGCCCTAGATAAACAAAATATAATATCATGCAATAATTCTGTTTTATATCTCCACAAAAATTGTTAGAATGATGTTATTGTTCTCCAGATTGTCAGACTATTAGTTGAGTGTGTTAAATGTGTTAAAACCAGATTGTCAGACTATTAGTTGAGTGTGATAAGAGACATTGTCACTCAAAAGATGTGTTCTGCATTCACCTTCAGAATTTTAAAACGTGGTACCCTGGTATCAGGGTATCATGTGAAGAATGAATGAAAAATACAGTGGTGAAAAAATTAGGTTGTGACATAAACGATACAATCATGTCTCTCTTTCTTGACAGTTGCAGTACCAATTGGAAATAAAAATATATTGTTGAATGAAGTACCACTGATCAGATTTTGACATTAGTGTACTGTAAATTTCTCATGTTTCGAAACAGTGCTTGAAAGCATTTGTTGGACAGGCAGAGAAGACGTGAAATAAGTGGACTCTTAATCTAACAACAAAAACAAAAGTGAAACAATAATTCGATTTTTTTTAAACTATACATGTTTTTTTACATGCCTTTCCCAAGTGTTATTGTCATATTCTGCCTCATACAAATGCTTTTATAAGTTTGGCAAAAAATAATACTGGTGGACACTGTTCAAATACAGTCTTCTGTTGACTGCTAATTTTTTAATTTTATGCCTGAATTCTTTCATATTCCATTTTTAGGTCTTTGCATGCTTTCAATTGGCAGTTCACACACTTAGAAGATGCAACTTCCTTTACCATGTTCTGTTTTGCATGTGGGAAGTAGAGTTACAGTGCTGCTCCTTGACAGGCTGGTCCTGTTGTTTTCTCCCACATCAGCAGTCAATAAGATCAGCCCGGAGATAAGGAAACAACAGGCTGACTCTGAAGGAGCTTGTTGAGCAGGATTCCGGCCCATTCAGAGACACTCAGTGTGTAACCCAACCCACACAAGGTCGAACAATCATATACAGGCCAGACAGAGGAAAAGAAGTGTAATTTGGTAGAGTAAAGGCATACACACAGCCTTTTTCATTGTAAACACACAAGTTAGAGCATGTTGGATCAGCTCTCACGAGTGATTGCACACAAACACATGAGTTTGACTCATTGCACATTAATGTAAATGAGTAGGACTTTGCACTGACAGTGTACTTAACACATATTTACTACTTGAACTGATCTTCCACATACTGCCTAATAGCAGGCTTGTCTACATCCATTTAATAAAGTTATATATATGCACTTTAGTATGGTGAGTCAAATATGAAACACACTTAAGTTTTTACAGTTTTAATTTTTACAACACTGTAAAAAGAGACTCCTCCCTACGGTTGCTCTGTAGGTTTTGTTGTCAGCCAACACTGTAAAATGCTGTAAAGTCAGATAACCTTAAGGGCTCGAGAGTCACCAAACACTGTTATAGACACAGGAGCATTCTAATGGAGGTGACTCATTGTTGATCTAAGTTTAGTTCATGCTCAGGTGCGGTCGATAAGCAAACAGTGTTATACGTTACACCAAACTATGAACGTCTCATCCTTCAGGATTATTCATTTGCGTGTCCAAGGTATGACAACATACTTAACCATGAGAAACATCAGTAATGGTGGCTCTAAAGTAAATGTCCCCAGTGGACTGACTTGTCTTCATGTATTATGTAGTGTTTTAAGAGACAACTTCAGCTTTATGGGTTTTTTTTCCCTAGACGTGAAAATAATGTCTCCTTTTACCAACATAGACAATAGAAACAAAGTAACTTTGTACTGTGAAGAGACATTCAAACATTTGTCATCCACAGAGCATAAGTGGTCCTTGTCTGTCACCACTCTGAGCTCTATACTGATGTCATTATGGGACAAATGCAAAGTGACTGGTTGGTTTACTCACTTAAATTGTTTCACTTTCATAATCTGCATGTCTGCTTCTGCTCACCACAGAGAGTTTAATTTCTCCATTCCAAAAGGGTGAAAACAATCGATCATAGTTGATTTGTCCCTTTTCTTTTTGACATGTTAGGACTTTATTTGTGGTCTTGTCCAGTGGGTTTGACTGTGTTGAGATCTATTGGGTTGACTTGAGCTGCACTCCTTCCAAGGTTTGTTACAGGAGCAGACCCGAACACGGTAACTGGCATGTCTGCATAATTTACTGGACTGAAGCTAATCAAATCACTCTGTTTAATGAGACTCATTAAACGGGACTCATTAAACAAGTCTTGTGTTATTGTGAGTTATTTTTTTTAACTTACTACTTAGTAAAGGCGCTGATATTTTCATAAAACATCAAATTTACACAGACCTCAAACATATGACCATTGAATATGTCTTAGTGGCGACAATCACAACAAATTCTGGAGTGACAATATATCACTTTGCATATTGCCACAACAGGTGACACACTAAAAGGACACAGAATACAAATACTAAACTAGCTATTTTGCTTCTTCATGTTAGCTGTATCATATTGGGATGGCAAGATCCCTGGGGAGAAACATCTTATCTCTCTCGGCAAGCTGTTCAGGGTGGAGGTAGTTATCAGATCAAGTGTTTCACAGTAGAGTAGTGTTACAAAAAAGAGTTGTAAAGAAGTACGAACAAGTTCATATTTGTGATAAATCTGATCTGATGGAAAGTAACTCATTCTCAAAATCTTACAAAGCTTTTACTGTGAAGTTATTTTGTAACAGTCTAATTCTGTGCTAAAGGTTTTTAAAAATTATGTCTCTATTTTGTATTGCGTGCATCGTATTTTACGTCCTGGTGGGAAACAGAATAGGGCTACATCCGTTTAGCTACTGGTTCGAGGACTTGTTTCAAGAGGCTCTGCTGCATTTTGATGTCTGGTTAGTATCAGGCATGGCAGACGTTGGTGCTGGGATCATGTGGTGAGCCACAATTATATGTTCCTTGTTGCACCATAGAGCCACAGGCTAAGTTGCACTAAACCACAAACACTGTTTTTCCTAATCCACCCTCCAGTGGAGGACACACAGACTCATAGTTTCACACAATAGTCTCCATGTTTGAGCTGTCAGACTTCTATAGATCATGCAGGGAATGGAGGATGAGCTTTGGGCTACGAATCCTCAGTGCTGCTCTGCCATCTTTTGCAATAGGCAGAGTCCGTGGAGGCGGGCAGGCAGGCAGGCAGGCAGGGGGAGGGGAGTTGGCTCGCCTGTCCACTCCCTTCTCTGATCCCCCTCCCCCCCCCTCTCTCTCTTTCTCTTGCATTTGCTTTCTCCTGTGTTAGATGGAGGGTTCCTCACACAGACTGATGCTCTTTGCCTAGCCATCCATAATGCATGAAATGATACACAATCTGCTCAGCCTCGTCTATCATTTACAGCGCATCAATAATGAAATCCTGGCCTCTTGCTTCTTTTCAGTATGCCATGGCAATTCATTGAAATCAGTCAGCAAAGATTTTTACAGCTTTTGTTTCATGACTCTTGCGGGCACTGTAATCAATACTAGAGTAGAATATTAGTTTCTCACCATTGAAAAGTAAACATGTTTTTAAGATAAGTTATTCACAGTTCTATACCATCAGTCTTCACCTCTCTTCTATGGCCGCAAGGATTTCACTACTGTTGAAAAATAACCCTGTACATGCTCCACATTATATGCATGACAGCACTACCTGCTTACTACTGACCTGTACATTTTTGCTGATGCAAGTAACATCTAGAATGTTCCTAGCTGTTTCAGCACACACACAGGGAGCTTTTTTCTTTTTTTTTTCTCCCCTGCACTGTAGCAGACATATTGCTTCCATTGTGATGTCATCAGCCAGGCTGGGCTGTGCTGTCGTCTCCACAGGCCTGTCAGTTCTGGCAGAATGTGGTCTGGTGACATGCTCAGCCCTGCTCATATTGTTCCTTGACTGGAGCTGGTGATTAGCACCAGATGTGGCAGCAGAGCTGCTTTTTGAACCAGTAGGGTTGTTTTGGAAGAGTGGGCGGAGGAGCCTCAGCTGAGGGAGCTGACTAAGCAACTTTGAGCATGTGGTGAAAAATTCCCCAGGTAGCAAGTCACTGTACAAGCAACTCACAAGACAGTCAGGAGGAAATTCCCATTGTCCCCCCTATTCCTCTGATATCTTGTGCACACAAGAAGTATGAATGAACAATGCTGCTGAAAATGTTTGTATGTGTGGTGGCTGAATGCTACAAGGGTTGTATTTCTTGTAACTTTACAGCCTGCATTCAATAAGGCTAAGATCCGCTCAAGTCATTAGCCTCTTTGGATTGGGATGTGACTTAGATGTGAGTCAACAAAACTTGTTGCCAATTAAATTACAGTCCACAAGATTAATTTCTAAGCATGTTTTACTTTTTTATATTTAAAATTTTTAAAAATAAATATAACTAAATAAATCCCCTGTCTGAACTACAGATTGTGATAAATGTAAAAACCATGGTTTATATTTCCTTGATTTGTTCCATTACGCCCCGAGAACGGTGTATGAATTGATCTCTGAATCTCCACTGATGGGGCCAAATTACTTTGTCACATTTGATTTGTTGTGAGGTGTGTTGGAGGTGTGAAATTCTCCTCTGACCATTAATTTACAAGAGGGCAAGCTAAAAGAGATGGACATTAGGTGTAATGAATAACTGACTGTCTCAGGAACTTCATCTGTTTGGTATGACCTTTTTATATTATATATTTATAAATATATGTCATTTCACTATGCAGTTTGCTTTTCCCTTCAATCCCTCTTAGCCTCTTTTTGCTGACAATTTTGATGTTTATTTCCCTTGTTATTCTCATTCAGGGATTTCCTTCCACGTGGATCAGGCATTGTAACCCGCAGACCTCTTATTTTGCAGCTGGTCAACAATGTAGCAGGTGAGTGCGTCTGTCTTGTGCACCTCCATATCCCTGCCTCTCTTACATCACTGCCCTTTACGTGGCCTCTCTCATGCAGCCTTCAGCTAGGCACCTTGTCTGTTGTTTGCTGCCTTCATCTCTTTAATTTTATATTGTCTCTTGTATTATTTTCTCTCACTCTACTTTGTACTTTTGTTTTCTTGTGTCCCCATGTCAATGTTTGTACAGAATATGCTGAATTCCTGCACTGCAAAGGGAAGAAATTTGTGGATTTTGACGAAGTGCGAGCAGAAATTGAGGCAGAGACCGACAGGATAACAGGCTCCAACAAAGGCATCTCTCCCGTTCCCATCAACCTCAGGGTCTACTCTCCACATGGTAATGTAGGGCTGTTTATAAATACAAAGATAATTACCACTTAATTTGATGATAATAACTATTTATTTAGTTTCATGCCCCCATAGCATTTAAAAAAAATGAAACATCTAAAAATAAAGCATTGCCGCAATGAAAGTAGTTCCGAATATGGGCTACAAAGTAACAAATTACAAATAATAGATTATTAAAACATCTTGTTGACTGATGAGTTTGTTTGACTGGTAGAATTTTTTTTTTATTTCTAATTTTATTTTATTCTTTTCATATGTGGTTAAGTGTTGAACCTGACCCTCATTGACCTTCCTGGAATGACCAAGGTTGCTGTTGGTGACCAGCCCGTGGATATTGAGCACCAGATCAGAGATATGTTGCTGCAGTTCATTACCAAGGAGAGTTGTTTGATCTTGGCAGTCACCCCGGCCAACACTGACCTGGCCAACTCGGATGCTCTGAAGATCGCCAAGGAGGTTGACCCACAGGGTAGGTAGTGTTCTGATAGGTCAGTGATCTTACCTCAGACAAGGTTAGTACATTACGTCATCTGAAGGAGACCGGTTTTATTGTGTTTGTCTGACTAAATTTAACTTTTAAAACACGTTAACGTGACAGTCAGATGAAAATTACAATTTATATGCCGGATAATGCTTTAAAGTGTTAGGCTTTCATGTTATAGGACTCAATCACTGAATTTTAAATACATCTTTGTGGGGTTTTTTTTTCATAATTTGTTTTTTAAGATATTCTGGATAAATGTATTTTGCAGATTTTATTCCCTTGTATACTTTTGGTATTTAATGGAAAAGTTGAACAGGTGTAAAGCAAAAACATGCTGTTTTTGTGCAATAAATACAGCGTCTTCGCAGGGTCGATAAGAAGTCCTACCAAATAAGCGTGATTTCAATGTTAACAAATGAGTTGTGATTATGTTTTTGTTTTCACAATCCAGCAGCCCTAACACCAGCTATATTGACTGATTCTTGTATTTGGGTCAGTGAATCAACTCCCACCTCCTGCTTGTATACAGTGACAAAAGCAGTAGTCTATTCTGACAAGTCTGGTCAAAGGTCACCTATAGCTGTGCATATAAATAAACAGTAAGACAAAACACATTTTTGTTTTAGTTCTCACCACTAAATCAGAAACATTGCATCCTATTATCAAACAGTACTTCTGATTTTATTTTATATATATTTATTCTGTTTTCTTACTGTTTATGCCAAAGCTGTATTTTTCTATCACCATTCTATGTACTGTATATGTACCATAACAGAAAACCAAGATACTGAGAGGTTTCTGAAGTCACACAACGTTGTTTTTTTTTGCAGGTATGCGTACTATTGGTGTTATAACAAAACTGGACCTGATGGATGAAGGGACAGATGCAAAAGATATCCTTGAAAATAAACTGCTGCCATTGCGACGAGGTGTGAATTAGAGATGCGCGCACACACACACATAAATACACTTGTAACTCCATGAAGGAGAGGAGGTGTGACACAAAAAAAGTCCTGGTAGCTACGTAATTATCTAAATGCAATTAATAGTGTTGACTAAGGGCATGTTGGCACACAGACGTTTTTGTTTTTTCTCTCAGCCAACACTTCGCATGCGTCTTGTTACCTTGCAAGGGCTGTTCTGTGAAATTTACATAATTTTTTATTTAAAAGTAATATTTAGTCATTTGTTTTTAAAAAGTATTTTTGAAGTTCAAAGATGTCTGTGATCATCATTTACACTAAAAGTATTGTGCAACCAGTTATTTGTCAGAAGAAATGACTCATGAGTTTATATTTTGAAGAATGTACTGTGGTTTTGTTTTTTTACAAACTGCAGTTTCCTGTTGGTACAGTATTTCATCAACTGTGCACTAAGGCCTTAAGTATTGTTGAACTGACTTGCTCTACAGATGAGAGGGTTGTACTGAAGACACTAGTTTTAGGTACAAGTGTGATAAAGTGCTTCTGTTAGTGCTGTCAGCTCAGATAGCAATCAAGAAGAACTTGGCTTTATTTATTGTTATCATTACCAAATTCTTCTGCCTTGACTGGCATGCAAAAAGTCCTGTTCTTTTCTAGTCCATTCTGTTCTAATCTAGTCTGATATGATCTATTCTTGTCTACAGTAGTGTATTTTAGTTTGGTCTCATCTGTAGTATTCTAATTCTTGTGCAACCCCTTTGTTTGTTTTTGTTTGTTGTGCACAGGTTATATTGGTGTGGTTAACCGCAGCCAGAAAGACATTGATGGGAAGAAGGACATTCGTGCTGCACTGGCTGCAGAGAGGAAGTTCTTCTTGTCCCACCCTTCCTACAGACACATAGCAGAGCGTATGGGAACACCACACCTACAGAAGACGCTCAACCAGGTTTGAAAACTCATATCTGGCTACTTCAAGAAAAATGAAAGCATTTTCTTAATAAATGTAATATATGTCTCTAACTGTCATCCATTCTCTTGAATGCTTCCCCTCGTCTGTGTAGCAACTGACTAATCACATCAGAGATACACTTCCTGGTTTGCGTAGTAAGCTGCAGAGTCAGCTCCTGTCCCTGGAGAAGGAAGTGGAGGAATACAAAAACTTCCGTCCTGATGACCCCACTCGCAAGACAAAGGCCTTACTACAGTGAGTTTCCACCTACGATACATTAAATCAAAACAGTTCTTGGTGAGGTTGCACACAGTACTGGATACTTGTAGTTGAATTTTTTTTTTAAACTGGCCTCATCTTTGTGTGTCTCCTCATGTTATCAGGATGGTGCAGCAGTTTGGTGTGGACTTTGAGAAATGCATTGAAGGCTCCGGGGACCAGGTGGACACCAACGAGCTATCAGGTGGTGCAAAGATCAATCGCATTTTCCATGAACGCTTCCCATTCGAACTTGTCAAGGTGAGGGTCTCAGGGGGGTGAAACATTGTGAGAAAATATGAGTATAAAAATCTTTTTGCTGCTATATTTACAATTCTTCTGCTAACCGTTACACTCCCTGTCCTCTAAGATTGTGTTCGATGAGAAGGAGTTAAGGCGAGAGATCAGTCACGCCATCAAGAACGTCCATGGTGTCAGGCAAGTGGAAAAACATTTATACCCATTTATTTCTTATTTCTTGTGCTCTGATTTTTAAGAAATATCTTCCTTGAAGTGTTTTTTCTGTTCTCTCCTTTTTAAGTCTATAATTGATCTACTTTAATCAGTCTCTGGCTTTACACACAATTTACTGCTGAATACAGTTATCTTCGTCCTACTTTCCCTCAGTGCTCTAACATTTTTCCCCTTACAGCAATGTTAACCCTCCTGTTTTTGTCTGCTGAAGTATTTTGTTATTTTGACGTTTTGCATTGCACTTGTCTTTGGCCTCTGTATTTTTACTGTGATGTGTGTATATATACTTTTATACCTAGTCATCTGTGGTGTTTTGTCTTCAACCCAGTGTTATTTGCCATTTTTATTTATTTTCCTTTGTCCACAGTTGTAATTTTCACCTGTCTCCCTATCTTATCTTTTTATATTCCTAATTATCCATCTATTCATGTTTTTTTTTTTTTGCCTACATCTGTTAACTGTGCCATCTGTCTGTCGCTTTGCCTTTGTCTTCTTTGTAAATCCTCAGAACGGGGCTGTTCACTCCAGACCTGGCGTTCGAGGCCATCGTCAAAAAGCAGATCGTTAAACTGAAAACACCTTGTCTCAAATGTATCGATCTGGTCATTCAAGAGCTGATCAACACAGTCAGGCAGGGCACCAACAAGGTACTGCAGGTGTACAGCATCTCCCGACCCAGCCGAGACACAGGGCAAGGGCAGTCGAAGGTGTGGCAGAGGGCGTGCTGACAGAGGACGTTTGCGGGTAGTTTATTTTTAAGAACAGAACTCTGTGCAGTTGGCCCTCAGTCCTCCCTCACCCCCATCTGCCCTGTGTGAAGGCAGTGCTGTCGTGTTGTGGAGTGTTGTGGCGGTTGACGTGTGGTCATACTGTAGATATGAGATGTTTTAAAGACTTGACCTGTCTGAGCATCTCTGGTCTCTCCTGGACAAGCTGCAGGTCTCACTGCTCAGAACCCAAAAGCCGAGAATATGAAGGGGAGGGAGGGAGACAAGCTGTTTTTATTTGGCTCCATTGCCACTGATGTCATACTCTACTACACTGCCCTAGTTTTAGAGGAACTGGCAAGTTGGAAAATGAGGATGTGAAAAACCTGCAACTTGTCATTTTACTTAGCTTGCTTTGTCTGTCGACGAGTAGAAATGCCTAACTGAACAAAGACTTCCCTTTTCTCCTATTTTTTTCCTTTTCCTCCTCTTTTTTCCTTTCCCATCTGTCTTTTTTCCTCCTTAATGTCTACCTGTCCTCTGTTCTGTCTACCAATCACACTCTGGTCCTTCAGAACGGGGCTCTTCACCCCCGACCTGGCTTTTGAGGCAATAGTCAAAAAGCAGATCCTCAAACTTAAAGAGCCAAGCCTCAAATGTGTGGACCTTGTGGTGTGCGAACTCACCGCACTCGTCATGAAGTGTGCCATGAAGGTAACGAGGAATAAACCTTCTGGGATGAAAGCATGAGCAGGAGATGGATTATATATTCTCTGTTATTACGTTACTCTGTCATTCCAGTCCAGTAGTCATCGTGATTCATACCCACTGATTCAAATGTCTACATTGCCCTATTCCCCTTTCCCCTGAAAGAACTCCATAAATATGATCAAGTTTTAAGCAAAGCTTAAAACCGCACCAGTCACCTTCTGCATTGAGTTTGATCACGCCATTGCTGGTTCCTCCCTCTGATCCTCCATCCTGGTCTCTGTTTGGTCAGAGTTTGGCTTCACTGCCATATTTTGCAGCCAGGCACAATGCCATCTGCAGAAAAATAACTAATATCAATGTAGTGTGTAGCCAGGCTGCCCAAATCGGCTGTTTCCATAGCAACTTGGTCTCACTGCCCTCTAGTGGACAGAGAGAAGAACGGCTCCCTTTGAAAGGACTGAAAATACACCGGGTTTGCAGCCGTCCTTTCCTTCATCCCTGAGCTTCCCTTCTGTCTCTTTTCATGTTTTTTCACTTTTCATGCTTTCTTTACTAATTTGAAATTCTATTAAGACTTAGGTCAACTGGAGATGACTGCTAAAAATATTTCCCAAAGGAAACACCCAAGGGATTAATAAAGTGCTACCTATCTATGTGTACAAATTTTTCTTTTCTTTTCACGTGTGCAGGAATTTTGGGTTAATGTTAGGACACACAAACCATGTGCCTCATATTCCTCACCAACAGGGAGTGCCATGAACATGATATGAATGCATTGGACACCTTTTTACTTTTACTTTTTTTACTTCTACTGGATTCCTCATTAGCCAGAGATGTAGTTTATATAATAATTTGGCCTATGTTTTACAGTGAGTTCTCCTCCTGATGCAAACTTCCCCATAGAGACGGCAGGTAGTATTTAACTTGGAGGCAGAAATAATAACACTGTGCCACTACCATGGACACAGAACTATGTATAATAATTGAAATAGGAAGATCAAATATAATATGCCACCATAAAACATTGTTACTCATACATCTAAGTAGGAAAAAGCTTAACAACTACATCTAAGTCGTATCATAAAATTTTGTTAGTTTTTTTTTTGTTGCTTCTTTTTCTTTGCGTTTGGTGGTCTGGTAGCATCCTTCATTCAGTACTAGTACATCCTATGAGGTATCCTATTTGGAAAACTGAAAATATATAAAATATTACAGAAGTGAAAATGCAGGCAGAGGACAGTGTCGTTGCAGATAAAAATAACATATTTCTCAAAGCCTATTATGGAATAGCTTTCAGGAAGACAAAAGTAAAACCACAATTTCTGTTATGTTAACAAAATTCCTGCATACTAAACTGTATTCGATTGTGTCAATAATTCACTCCATCAAGTCATCCCTGGTTGATGGTGTATAAGCTCTACACTGAAGTGTGTCTGTGTGTGTTTGTGTGTTGGGCTGTAGTTCTGTGTGACATTGAAAATGTCACTTGACAATCTCTTTCCTTTTTCTTTGTTCTTTACTTATTCTTACTTCTCATACCTGTTTCTCTCTGATACTTTATTGGTAAGTCTCACAAAGCTCAAGCTCACATGTACGTGTGTCCGCATGTGTCTGTGTTCAGCGCTGTAGTTCTCTGCTGTGTTGCTTTTCAGCTCAATTCTTACCCGAGACTAAGGGAGGAGACTGAGAGGATTGTTACCACCCATGTCAGAGAAAGAGAAGGGAAGACCAAGGACCAGGTGAGTTGAATGAGGTTTTCATTTATAAAGTGAACCGACTTTACTTTAATTATTACTTTCCTCCGATATTATGTTGATACAATCAACGTCTGATTTATACGAGCAATTGTTTTTTTGCCAACACTTCTTATTCGTGTGTTAAACTAAGGTTCTTGTTCAGGCTGGATTTGAACTAGCCCTGATGCCACTACACCACTGTCATGAATTACTTGGAAAAAAAACCTTCGATGAAGAATTTTCTAGTCTCATTACCAGATGCCTTTTAAATCAACGCTGTATAACCAACGTTTGTTTCTCGTTCTTATCCACCAAATGTTTAAATGTGTTTATTCTGGTAAGGCTTCAGCAGCAACTCTGTCAAACAGAAAACCACGAAGCGTGTATAAAATGAAACTTCAAAGATCATATTTTGCACCTTTACCACTTCTGCACTTTGCAGAATTGATAGGATCAGGCTTCACAAAAAGTGACATGTTTCTGTCGAGGTGTGACTTCAGCCCTAATTTCTGTCACGGCTCCTTTTTTTTCCGCTTAAGTGTGAAATATCAGAAGTGTGACTGCATCGATGTGATGTTTTAATGAAGACCTTTCTATCCTAATTGTGATGTTCTGCCTCTAATTAAGGTTCTGCTGCTGATTGACATTGAGCTGTCCTACATCAACACCAACCATGAAGACTTCATTGGCTTTGCCAAGTATGTACGCTTCCACCCTGCACCCTCCTTTACTTGACAAACTTACAGCTCGTTGCCAGGGACATGAGTTTCAGTGCAGTAACAATGATCCCTCATTAATAACTACAATCACCTGTGGTCCGTTGACTGGAAAAACGATTTTGCAGATTTTCATAAAAAAAAAAAAAATTGGTAAAATTTTGTACATGCAGTCAGTCATGCAATCAGTTATGATGGCGCAAGTGGATCAGTTGGTTCAAAACAACTTCCAGAAATGTTGGTTCATTTCAAAAATGCACTCAAATCCAATAATCTGTGGTGTTCTTCAGCAGTAGCCATTGCATTCATACAACAGTTTCACATTCAACCTGTGCTTTTATTAAGATTTATGAAGTTTGTTTAATCTGCATGAATGCATCTCAGATTTGTTACAGATTTTCATCTTTTTTGCATTCAAAGAAAGTTTGCCAACTTTTCTGGAAGTAGGTTCAAAGTACAATATATCAACAATCAACCCTGTAATAAGTGATTCAGCTACATGAGAGCATTTAAGAGTCTTTAAGGGTGCAATTTTCCACACCCCCTGCATGTTGTACTACATCTCACCCTCCAAACCTACTCTTATCAGGCATGTTTGATTGTCAGAGTTATGGACTTCACTGTTTGCCACAACCTGTTTGATTTTTCACTACCAAGAATGTAGACTGTTTACTATACCAACAGACGTAGCAATGCTAATGGTTTACTATGTACAGTAACTGAAATCCGCTCAGTGACGGAACACACTGAGGCACTGCACAGACTCGCCTTTTTTGTCGCTGTAGTTTGTAGACTAAAATCCCTGGGTGGATTTCTTTGCTTTCATTTTATTTTGAAAAGCAAATGCAACTTCCTCTGCATGCCATGTCATTGGCTGTATTCATAAAAAACAAACAAATGAAAAAAACAAACAAAATCAAACGTCCCCTTCTGCTTGTGCGCATGTGAAGTTCGATGCTGAGCCTCAGCATGGCACATGGATGACTTCAGTCAGGGCTGTTTAACGGTTCTCATGACGTTACTTTCAGTATTGACTACAGAAGGCTGGATGATGGTAGCGCCCCAGGGTACGGCAACAACAGGTGGGCTGACAGAAAGGTTGTAGGGTTGTGTGTACTGTTTGACAATTCTGAGAAACACCCTAACCCTCCATACTGTCCCAAATCCTCCACAGTCCACTCTCACCCGATTGTATGTGTGTAGTAGTTCAAAAGCCTTTGGATTTTCCATTTACCTAAAAGACCTGCAGACCTTAAACCCTGAGTGTGAATATTTTATTAAAGGTTGTGTTTGCTTCAGTGTCACCCACGTTTCTTGTCTTTCTTCATCATCTCTTTTTAATTACAGCGCCCAGCAGAGGAACACAGCCGCCAACAAGAAGAGGGCTATACCCAACCAGGTACCTTCTATCACTCTACCCTGGCCTTTTCACCATTCCCCAGATTTAATCTCCCTTGACTGATGCCGCCCATTAGCAGCCTATTAATCAACTGTGTGAAAATAACTGGCTCCAGCAGTGATTTAGCACAGCTCTGATAATCAGCCCTGACCCACCTGTTAATGATCCTCCCCTGCTCATTATTTTAACCACTGACTGTAACCAGTCGTTTTTTTTTTTTCTTTAGACAATGTTCCTTCTGTTTTGTCGATGCTGAAATTTTGAAGAACTCAAAAGATGTTTAGTTAGCCTTTTTAGATGTCCGAAGCACCGTAATGTTACAGCTTCAAGCACTGCAGTCAGTGAGGAGAAAGACACCAAGAGTTACCTTAAGAAGACCCTGCTTCTGCTTTTTTTCCTCGAAACAAATGATTGTTTCAACAGCTAATAATAATTGCTGTTTGCACGTGACTGAGGCATGTTGTTCTTTAGCACAGCAACAATTAATCACAATGTGATGATAATTGTTTTTGTTGCATTTCCATTAACCCACAAGCACCATTTGTTTTGTAATATAAAACGTGCATGGCTCTTGCACCCTCTGAACAACAAATATGACATAACCAAATTGTGGTATAATTGAAATAATTCTAATTGCATGTACTTCTCTTGCTCTTTCTCCACTCTCCCTCCACTCTCTCCTCTCTCTATACCTCTCTTTCTCCTCTTTCCCCCTCTCTCACTCTTTCATATCACTTGTCTCTCTCCGATTGGCTCATGGTTTTCCTGTTTCTCCTCCTTTTCCAATCATGTTCTTGCCATTTTACCCTCATTTTATCCAAACTTTACTTTGCCTCCCCTCCTCCACTTGTTACCCTGTTTTGTCTCCTCCTCTTCTTATCTGCCTTCCATCCTTGCCTGCTTGCTTTTTTTATCATTTCTTTGGCTACATTTTTTTTACTGCCCCTCCCTCCCCTTTGCTTTAATCCCCGACCCCGTTCCTATTACTGCAGGGTGAAATTCTGGTAAGTACCCCACAGCTTTAACCCACACCCTGCCAGGGGGCAGCAGTGGTAGGCCATGCAGTGGAACTGAGGCTATGATGCAAAGGTCAGACTATAATGTTTACGGTGGAAAAGTCACCGGCGGGAGACACCTGGATAAACAACCCAGTCCTGCAATTACAGGAATCAATTCCTTTCACTATAATGAGTTGTTTTACCCTTCTGCAGCTTGGCGGACTGGCAGAGGTCCATGAAGAGAAGGTAGACTCTTCAGTCTCATATCACTGATGGGTGATCAGCAACCAGTAATTTGGACTGATCGACTCATGTTTTAACATCTGGCACATTTGATCTTGTAATTTTGCAATTCCTGTTTTTTTTTTTTTTTAATATGACAGTAATTGTCTTTAATTACACACATCTGGATTTTTTACTAACCTGTTATTTCCCCCAACGAGATGTGTCTTTTTTTCCTGTTAAACTTTATAAGTCCTGTGAGAGATGTAAATCTTCCAGCACTGGCTACAGTTCCGACTTGTGTCTGGTTTCATACCTCTGCTGCTGCCTCGAGCATGGTGATACGAACATTTGCCTAATGAGAATCATCTTTAACACTACACCAGAAACATAACGGGAGAAGAGAGTAGTGATTGAATTGTCAACACACCAACATAACCCCAGAAATCTTTGTATTTTCTTTTTTTTTTTATTCATTTTTTTCTGCTTAATTTCTTCTTCCTCTTTCAGTTAAGTGCATGTAACAATCTAAATTCTTTTTACATAGAAAGTTATTTGCCTCTTTGTAAGTCTGCCCTCAAAGTCGATTAACTCAGACTGGTTGTGGCTTTTGGAATTATTTTAATCGTTGTCTAATATTATCATTTACATCATAACCTAATCTAATTACGTCGCCGCCTAATCATTTCACTGTCTCCACTTTAATCTCTAACATGATCTCACATCATTAACACGACTAACATTAGCATTAGTTACTTTTACAGAAAAGTATTTTATTACCTTTTACACAAAATCTTTTATGAAAAAGTTACAATGTTCAGGAGATTTAGAACGTTCCCTCATCAGCTCCTGCATCCTCTGTCCTTATTCTCCCACATTTGTGTTAAAGATAAACTAACTAAACTAAACGTAAGGCAGGCTTTGAAATTGACATTTCCACTCACCCTTACTTGTACAAGTGCATATTTTACTACAAAAAAGTTTTGGTTTATTTTAATGGCATTGAAATGCATTTGGGAAAAATGACAAGACCATAAGAAAGAAGGCATGTTACATTAACCCTTCACTTCCTAGAGTGATTGATTTAACCCAGGCACTCAGTCTGGTGTATAACCTCCCTCTACATCCCACAGCCATCAGTTTTTATTTTGCTATTGAGCATTATGTCACTGCATGAATTCTCCTTGGCTCTTTTCTTCCCCTTCATCTGATCTTCTCCGTTGTATAGTGAATTATTTCTCAATCACAGAATAAAGAATTTTCTCTTGTCTTTTACTTACCTCCAGTGTTAAAGCACTAACCCCAGTCTGTACTAACTCCTGAACTCTGTTTTTGTTTAACAGATGTTGTTTTTTAAAGCTAGCTCTAGCTCCTCTGCTAACACTAACATACCACCGCCGACCTCTGACAGAACGTGTCACTGTTAGTCTGGTCCTGCTAGTTGGTTTGAATACTCCTTTTCTGTAAAGCAAAGAAGAAGAAAAAACATCTTTTGTTTTTTCAGCTGATTGCTTTTTTGTGTGTCCACTTACTCGTTAATGTTACTTACAACACGTGCTGTACAACTGTATCGGCAGAATCCGATCACCTTTAATCCACGCTGCATGCTTAATGTTGTAGTGCACATCACAGTAAATTACACATTAAGTCTGCAGTGTTTTAGTTCAATGTCACATTTGAATCACAGTGTACTAGCAGGTAAGGAAGTGAGATTTTTGTTAGAGTTGTTGCCATATTAGCTTTTACAGCTTTAACTGCCTTATGTTTCATTTATACGAAGACAGTTTCCAGAAAAGATGGTACGTCCGATTCAAATAAAATAAACACTCAAGTCTGTAATTTGGTAATGCACTTGAACTTTTATTTGAGGCAAAATTGAAAAACAAACATGATATTTGCAATGTATTCCAAAAATAGATGGATATTTGAACAGATTTCTCCTGACTCAGACCATAAACCTACCATTGGTTTCCAAGTCCCAGCCTTTAGTAATTGCTTTCTGCACTTAAGTTTAATACACAAGACTGTCAGGAGTTTAGCTACTTTTTGAGAAAACTTTTAAAATGTTACGTGTGTGACTTTCTCTAATTGGTTTTTTTATTTTTATTTAATAAAGTCTTGTGTGAATGATCAAACTACACATTTTACTGAAACTGGGTTTTTGGGGGCTGTAACATCTTTTCTTGGAAGGGCATTCGTTTAGTCTGGTTGATGTAGCTGTTTTTTCCTCCGTTCTCCTGATGCCACTGTCTCCCTACTATCTTTTCCCCCTTTTTTTCTTCGTTGTTGTCCTTCCACAGGTGATCAGGAAGGGCTGGCTGACTATCAACATCAGCATCATGAAGGGAGGCTCCAAGGAGTACTGGTTTGTCCTGACTGCTGAGTCCCTGTCGTGGTACAAAGACGAGGAGGTGAGAGCAGCTCCTGTTCTAATGGGACATGGACACTCATTTAAACACAGACTCAGTAGAACTTGGACATTTCTGAGAGATGAAGATACAAAATATCTCAAGGGAAAAACTGGTTCCGCTCTGGTCGGTGTGGGTCCCAGCCCAGCCTAACCAATGTGCAGACTACTGTTCAGCTATAGCTTGACGAACAGGTAGTCTGAACACTGGGCAGGCGGGGTGGGGAGAGAGGGGGGAAACTCAGATGGGAGGAAGGACCCAGAGGTCATTGCAGCTGTTGTCTGGCTGTCCTAGGTACAGCAGTACAGAGGGCACAGAGAGCAAATATTACTCGTTGGCTTGTTGAAGTAAATGAGAAAAACACTAAAAAAAGACTGAATGAATCAAAATAATTTCCTCTATGATTTAAATATATTTTTTAAAAATGCGAAAAATAATAATTAATAAAGAAATACTAACTCACACTAGCACACACTTTAAAATGATTCATAGGAAGCTGAACATGATCGGACGTCATTCCCCTGATGCTGCTTTTTGCACAGTCGGCAAACTTGACTGTATAGTTTTTAAATGTAAAAGACATTCTCTTTTAGTGAGTCTATTCAGCAGTTTAGTAACTTATACACTATGTAAGAGACAAACATTTACATTTAATACATTTATCTAATGTTACTTGTTGTGCTGTGATGATGTTATAAACCAGGACATTAATCAAAAGACTAGTTTAACAATAAACACTCCTTCCTTAATGATCCAACACTCACCGCGACGTCCTTTTCCCACGGGCTCAGTTATATCCAGTCCTATACGTAAAATTACTGATAAAAAGACAAACTGTTGTACACCCACTAACCCCAGTCTGCCGGTATGACTGCTGGAAATGTTATGCCGGTCTCCTTTTAGTTAAAGTCTGTGAAAGAAAGAGGGAGAGAGAGAGAGAGTGAGAACGAGGAGGATGGTGAAGGCAAACTGACGTGGCAGGCGGGCTGAAATGTTCCAGCCGGGATCTGACTTTGGAATTTGCAGGAAATCGTACTGGGTTTTATGTGTGTGTGTATACAAGTCAGGATGTGTACTTTTTTTTTTTTTTTCTTTTACTGTTTGGAAAGTTGTTAAAGTCTGTTTGAGGAAATGTTTGTCTATACTTTTTAATGTATTGATTTTGAGTGTATTTTTGTATTACTGTGTGTGTGTGTGGTTTGTGTGTGGTAGGGGGTGGTGTGAAGCTGTGTGTGTGATGTAACTGTTGGCCCGAGCAGCTCTCTGTGCAGACCTAAATGATTCCAGATGTCTCTGCTCAGCAGCCAAAGCTGGCACCCCACACTCCCAGAACTTACTCTTGCTCCTCCTTTTCTCCATTTACGCCTCCTCCTAACACACACACACACACAGGGTATTTCTCCATCTCACCACCAAGTTGGTGGTAATCCTCAGGGATTTCATTGTATCTGCTCACTGAAATTTTAGAACGTCTGGCCTCCCGTCTCTCCACTGCCGCCAAAATGGAAACTGATAAAACTGTTGTCTTTTCTTTTTCTGTTTTATGCTTTAACATGACTTTTCTGCTGTGTGTCTGATGTTAGGAAAAAGAGAAAAAGTACATGTTGCCTTTGGACAACCTGAAACTCCGAGATGTGGAGAAAGGCTTTATGTCCACAAAGCACATCTTTGCAATCTTCAACACTGAGCAAAGGTCAGGGTTTCTGCTGTTGCCTGATGTTTTTTGACCTTTCTGGATTGACATCAACTCTGTGTGTTTGTGTTGCTGATTCTGAGATTAGCCTACACACCCATAAGCTTGTTTGTTTGGTTTTTTTTTCCTTCTGTTGGTGATGCAGGAACGTGTACAAGGATCTTCGTCAGATTGAGCTGGCCTGTGATTCTCAGGAGGATGTGGACAGCTGGAAGGCATCCTTCCTCAGGGCTGGAGTTTATCCAGAAAAGGATCAGGTTTGTTGGTGTTGATTTGTGTGAGAAACAGTGGAACTCAACTTGTTCTGGTCAGTGTTAATAAAAACACACTTTGATTTTCCTGTGTTTTATATTCACCCTCTGTCTGCTTTTTTTTTTCTTCCTCAGACCGAAGCTGAAGAGGCCGCCCCTGCAGACACTTTTTCAATGGATCCTCAGCTGGAGCGTCAGGTGGAAACCATCCGCAACCTGGTCGATTCCTACATCAGCATCGTTAACAAGTCCATCAGAGACCTGGTTCCCAAGACCATCATGCATCTCATGATCAATAGTGTGAGTCCTTCATGTACCTGTTAAATGTAGATCATTTATTAACCTTTTGCAGGATATCTGTCCTCTGTTGGCAAACAGGTCTCCCCCAGACGACACAATTATTATATAATTATTATACATATTTCGCCTACAGTAATCAAGGTAACCTGATCTCACAGCAAATTGAATATTTTGTAATAAGGTCCAAAAGCACATTTGTTTTTTCCTGCATTGCAACGCTTCAACGTAATTCCAGTTAATGCCACCAGATGGTGGCAGACACAAATTATCTTTGACTGTCGCTCTGCCTTCATGTCGCTTCTGACATCTTCATTCACGGACCCTTTCGGCCGTACGGAGAAATTTGTTTTACTCGAACTGCTAAATATAAAACAGTAATTGATCTGTATTTCCATAATTAACGTTAATTTGAATCATAAATACGTAGGTGATGTGATTAGAGGTTATAATTAACATGAGGCAGAGGAAAGTGTTTCCAAGAAGTGAGAAAATGTTTTGTATAGAAAAACAACACTGGAATAAACTGGTCGTCATTATATTCAGCAAAAATTAATGTTGATAAAAACAACAACAAAAAATCCATTCTTTATTTTAACGTAGCAACTGATTAATTCAGTGGGGCAGTGGTGGCCTTGGGTCCGGAAGGTTTCAGGTTCGAGTCCACCAGCTGCCCAGTTACCACTGAGGTGCTCTGAGCATGGCACCGTTCCCACACACTGCTCCCCGGGCGCTTAAAGCTGTTCACTGTTCACTTTGGTGATGGGTTAAAAGCAGAGGTCACATTTGGTTGTGTGCAGTGATGTGCTGTGTCAGCAACAATGACAAGGAGTTCACTTTCATTTCCTTCATTAAGACATGAAAATATAACAATAATAAACACTATTGAAACCATCTTAAAGGCTCTGTAACTGAAAGTGTTTATTCTTCACTAATCAAAACCAAATTTCCAAACAGAAGTACGACCCACACTGAGCTGTCACTTCTTATGTATTAATAGTTTTAACTTTATTTTAAATTTAGGCAAAGGATTTCATCCACTCTGAGCTGCTGGCCTACCTCTACTCCTCTGGAGATCAGAACAGCCTGATGGAGGAGTCAGCTGACCAGGCCCAGCGCAGGGATGAGATGCTGCGCATGTATCATGCCCTCAAGGAGGCGCTGACCATCATTGGTGACATCAGCGCCAACACCATCTCAACGCCAGTACCTCCTCCTGTAAATGACACCTGGATGCAGGAATCGAGGTGACTTCACATTACACACACATTACACACACATTACAATCACAACACTTTGCACTATTATTTCTCTAAAAACCAACCGTAGTCGGTGTGTCACCTCTACCTAAGAATTATGGGAAGTTTTGGTAATTATCAGCAAATTATCCTGACATTCGGGTGTTTCCTGTCTCAGCCCCACACCTCAGCGCAGGCCACCTCCTGCCACAGCCCCGCCGCCCAACCGTCCACCTGCTGTCAGGGGCCCAACACCAGGACCACCCATGAACCCTTCCCCTGCCTTCGGAGTTCCACTCAACCCCTCCCCTGCGTTTGGTGCTCCACCCATCCCCTCCCGCCCGGGCCAGCCCATGAATGCCTTCAACAGCAGCCATGATCCCTTCCGTGCTCCTCCTCAGATCCCGCCCCCACCAGCCCCACACCTCAGCGCAGGCCACCTCCTGCCACAGCCCCGCCGCCCAACCGTCCACCTGCTGTCAGGGGCCCAACACCAGGACCACCCATGAACCCTTCCCCTGCCTTCGGAGTTCCACTCAACCCCTCCCCTGCGTTTGGTGCTCCACCCATCCCCTCCCGCCCGGGCCAGCCCATGAATGCCTTCAACAGCAGCCATGATCCCTTCAGTGCTCCTCCTCAGATCCCGTCCCGACCGGCCCGCGTCCCTCCAGGTGTACCCAGGTAACAGCTTTACTACACAACGGTGTCATCAGGATTGTGTGTGTTAATTCATTAAGTCACGTGTTTATGACTGTGCTGCATTGGTAACTGTGTGTCTTCTCATCCACTTTTTTTCAAAAGTCACAGGTGGTTCGTCAGATAATCTGTAATCCTAGTCCTCCACAGGCTGAGAGTAAACACTGTATCTCCCAGGAGTCTAGTCGCTGTAGATGGCACTAAGTTCAACCAGTTTATTGGAAGCCTTGTTTTTAAAAATGAAAGTAATTATAATCTAATAATAACAAAAGATTTTAGGCTAGTAGTTCTGTTTTGATACATACACAAGAAATGTTGTGCTGTAGGCAGTTGTTGCTGTTGTTTTAGTTTTATTTACCTCTGTGGATTTGGGAAGATCTTTATATTCTTGGTGTTAACAAAACACTAATGTAAAACTGTTGCTTTGGAATTGAAACTCTCCATCAGAGTCACTTGATTGAAGCCCATTTTTAGGCCTCTTACAGCTGAAGGGCATATAAATGATCTTTAACCTATTTAAATTCAAACCCATCAGAGCAGTGATTGAGTGGACGAACAGCGCAGTAAAAACTTTCCATTGAGACATTGTCAAACATCTGTATTGGTCATCATGGATTCTGTCTCCCCTCACCTTTGACCCCAGCTGGAGTCGCCCTCCTGTTTTCACACTGCTGGGTTGTTGCAGTTTTCTCCTCTGTCTCTCTGTGAACTGGTCTCAACCCCTGTCCCATATCTTCTCTCCCCGCTGCAGCCGAAGACCCCCCGGGGCTCCTTCCCACCGACCCACCATAATCCGCCCGGCTGAGCCCTCCCTGCTAGACTAGACCCGTGGCCAATCTCGCCTCTGTGTGTGTTTGTGTGTGAAAAGGTGTGTGCGTGCGAGTGTAGAGCACACAATTAGGTGGGGGCTGGAGGTGAGGGGCTGACTGATGCCCCCTCGTGATAACACCGAGTCGAGCAGTGTTTTTGAGCTGCTAATAAGGTCTTTATGAGGTTAATCAAAAAGAATGAAAGACGTCAAACAAAGCCCCGTAACCACTTCATGATGTCCGATCGCTGGGAAAAAAAACAATTGTATGATATAAAATCAGTTCCAGCCAATCGGTGACAGGCACCAACAGTGTGTCCATATCAACCTGAGCTTTTTTTGTATTCACTGCTTCATCACAGGAGCTCATGGGAATTAAATTAACATGTAAAGGCTGTTGTTTCCTCTCTGCTGTCCTTTTACACTCTTCTTAATCCCCACCCTGATACCTGATAAGAAATCACTGTGTCCTTCACAAAACTAACTGGTTAGTTCTTTCCTCACCAGTGTTATTTTATTCATGGGGAACTTGACGTAGCTTTAAAAATTAAATAGAAAAAAACAAAAAAAAACAAAGAAGGTGACAACATGGAGAACTGACAGAGCAGCTTCAGCTTCCTCTCTGTAACATACTCCAGGGTGACAAGATGTCGACCGTTAAAACCCAAGCACTTCTTACAGACAGCTTTTTCTTTTTTATCACAAGGACGATCGCAGTCCATACCCAATAACACTATGCACAGAAACCCCAGCACAGGCTGCTCGCTCCTGCTTGAAAGCTTCTGTCTCCACTAAGTGGTTGAAGCCTTAAATTTAAATCCCTTTATTCTCAGAAAGACGCCTTCAGGTAGTGCTAATTCATTCCCGAATACTGAGACGTCACTCATCAGAAATAAAAAAACGTATCTGCGTTTGTCGTAAAAAGACAGATTTGTGATTTTTATAATGATGGTATTGGGGCTTTCACGTTTCTTCATGGGCTCAGTTGTCAATGAAATATTGTATATAGATCTATACTGGGTGGGCCGGGGGAAGGGTTAGCACTTGTATCACATTTAATAGCAAAGATAATGGTGGAAATATATTATAATCAAAGGCCATCATGTCAGAATTCAACTGTAAGTGTGGTCAGAAGACGCGCTCACGCTGACTCTTCATTATTAGCTTTGGATGTGGGGAAACGAGAGATTCCTCTTCTCCTGATTCATTATTTATAACCTGGGCATTTGTCATTTCTTTTGATGGATTAGTTTTATCAGTTGTGTGTATCTCTATGCTCCCCCAGGCACTTCATACTTCTTTTTTCTAATTTTAACTGTTGTTAAATGAGATTCAGCTACAGGGATCACTGCTCCATTACTATCTCAACAATGATTTTGATCTCGGCCACTAGAGGCTAACACTTCACAGTGGTGGAAGTGGGACTGATGTTTCAGAGACGTTACGAGGTTTAAAAGGTGAAAATACTCAGGCTGCCAGTGACGTTGACTCATCGGGATGTTTTTACGTTGTTTCCTTTTTTATTTCTTTTTTTTTGGTTTGATCAGTAGTTGTGGGAGTACAGAACTGGGAGTTGTGGTGTACAGAGCACATCCTGTCTTGAGATTCTGTCTAGACTTGTCCTTATCTTCACCAATAAGAACTGAAACTTAAAACAACCTCCAAAATGACTTAAACTAAATCTAAAAAAGAAGAATAAATTAAACTAAATGACAAGAAAAAAAAATTTCCATCCACAGGTGTCTCCAGACAGAATGTGTGAGTGTGTGTTCATGATTCTTTTCCTACAAGGTCTGGCTCACAATGACAGTGGTACCGAAACAAAATCATGAATATTCCACTCTTTAGAATGATGACCTTTGACCTTTCACTTCCCCTACCCACCACAATTTATTAAAAAAAGAAATTCTAATCAGAGATATTATTCATACCTGTCACTGCAGCCTGGCCTTGACGTGATCAGACTGTAAATGCCATGTAATATAGCAGGTTGTTCTCTCCCTTCCTTCCTCCTTTTCTTCACCCCTGTCTGTGCTGGTGGAAGTGGTTGAAAAGCAACCTGTGGGGGAAAAAAAAAATCTTTTTTTTTTTCTTGTTGTTTTGCAAATTCTTGTCAAGTGCCTCTGTAGCAATTAATTGATCTAAATAAACAATATGAACTAATGGAAAAAAGGAGAATAAATAAAGAGGTGTTGTGTACTATAAAGGGACTGGCTCTGGTGGTTGGTGTCTCCTTGTGTCCTGCGTGATGATCCTCTCTCTCTCTCTCTCTTCCACCCTACATCCACCCTTCACCCCCCTCTTCCTAGCAGATAGTAACCAGTAGTGTTCCTCCTGGGTTTTCCTTCCTTTAGCTCCTCCTTTTATTGTTGAGTTCAGCTGGACATTTTGTGTGCTTACATACTATATTTATTATACTCTTGAAAAATCAGTCCGAATTTAGTTTGTGAGGGTTAACTACCTGTGAGTGGAAAGATGCGTACAGCAGGGGTTAAAAAAAAAATTAGAAAGCACTTTAACAATAACACTGTTACTATACTATTACCTCTATTTTATTAATATAGTATGAGTATATTACAAAAAATAAACCTTAAATGATTATCTGAAACCTCGGTATTCTACAGCTGAGTCCTGAATTTAGAGACTTTACCAGAGACTGCATGAGAAACTGAATCACCTGGAGTAGACTCATTCCTGGAGGATGTGTAAACCTCCAAACTGGAAGAGGAATAAGGAACTATGGAATCTTTGGTTTGGATTTAGGGGAAGCACGTTAACAATGTTCTTCTTTGTGTGGTTCCAACCCAAACCAACTAAAGAAAAAAAATGCACATTTAACATTACTTACAACCCATAATGGCTCAAAAAATGTATTTGAAAATAACTGAAAGAATTGCTGAAAAATAACATGCTTTTCCAACCCCCCTAATTTACCCTCCATTATAAATGCTAAAGTAGGAGTTTCTAGGGTTTTCATCTACACCGTAAAATTATAGACTACGTAAAAAGCGAAACAAAAACACCTTTTTACATATTCTCACTTTATATATTCATCCTGTGAGCCAGATCCGACCTTTTAATGGAACCATGGTAGCCAGCAGGTTGTATGTTTGACACAGCTGATCTAGTAGCCGTATTAGATGCATTTGAATATACATATTTGAATAGCTAAATGATGCAACAAAGTGGGATTCCTGGGTTTCCTTACCAGACTGGGAACAAACACTGCTTCCAGGTTTTAAATGCACCCTTGAAATCAGGAGCTGATGTTATATGATGGGATAAGATGTATCACATCATATCATTTGTTATCATATACATATTATGTCATACCATAGGCCTATATCAGTGTTTCCCAAACTTTTTTTTCACTCCTGGGAAACATGTAAAAGTCACAAACCGGCACAACCCAAGTCAATAGGCAGTATTCCTAAACTCCTGGGAAACATGTTGCAAGACGACCCCCAAAAAAACTCTTGCGACCCACCTGAGGGTTGTGACCCAGACTTTGGGAAACAATGCTATATATCATGTAATATAAGCTAGCCTTTATATGGCGCTACTTCCTGTCTTCAGCTGTTAATGCTTTACTCTACTACTGTCACAGATTCAGCTACTGTGTGACCCAGCACAAAGTGCACAAACATTAACACTGCTGATTGTTCCTGAACAGGCGCCCGGCTCCTCGTCGTGACCATTGGTGACCACCGCTCATCTCAGTGGACTTGAAATGACTTCAGCCTACGTCCAGAGCAGGAGCACAGATGAGCTACACATTCTATTTTTATTCTTATTCCAGCCATGACAAACATAAACAACCAATTGTGATGTTAAACTCTGCACTGAGTTACATCTGTCTCCCAGTTTTAACTCTTTTTAGAAACCAGCAGTATCCACCTGGCCAGCACTGTGAGATATTTGCTGTTACTGCTACAGACTTTAACATGAGATTGTAAATAAAAAAAAAACGATTTGTTTTTAAATGAACAAATTATCTGTTCATTATACAATGTTTTACGAACACAACGACTTTAAATTGGTGGAGTGTTACTGCTGCAAACAAACGATGACGTAACAGGAAGCTGGGAAAACGACCAATGAGATGAACCAACACTAGACTGTCTTGCTCGGTGTGTACACATTCCGATCACAGTCTGTCTGCGTGTATGACTTAATGCAAAGACAAACTGCCGTTAACTGACTGTACTGTGCCTTTGTATGTGAATAACCTGTTCAGGGAGATTTAGGCTTAGTGACCTGTAGATTAAAATTAATGACATTTGTGTTTAAGGTGATGTTAATTTAATAGATGCTGGTAATGTGTACTGTTTAATTTAGTAGAAGAAGATCAGGCTTTTAAGCTTTGCCGATGACCAATAAAAGCAGTTCTTTTAGTGTGTGTATTAGGATGTGTGTGTATGTGTGTGTGTTGCAAGATGAAATCTCCCCTGGCAACCATACATAAATCAGACCAGTCACTCAGGCACCAGATCTCATTGGTGGACTGACTCATTTCCCACTGTATCGTCACATCATATGATTTCATTATTTCTCACGACTCCCACACAACACATGGTCACGGGTTTGCTTATCACGTACTTCTAGTAAAGGAAAAGTATTGTGTTGCAGCACAGTTGTTAGTGACTAAACTAACTAATTTATTTTCAGTCAAAGTAATCAATCGAGCATCTTAATTCCACTGTGTAAACAGCCGCGATGAATTAAGAACCTGGTTCTGGTTGTTGTTCAGAGCAGCTGGGAAATGAACTGAAAACAGCATTATTTCTATTAAACCTCAGTACTCAGAACTGTTGACTAGGAGTACTTTATATACATATTCCTACTCAGGACTCCTTACTTGGACTATTGCTTGCATACTCATACTCAGGAGTATTAATTTCAACACATACGTAAAAATATGTCACTACTAAAAAAGCGAGTATTCAAAAACATGTGAACTGTCCTTTGAAATTGAACACACAGCTGCACATCTGCTGAGATGTTAAGATCAATCTCTGAAGTGTGCCATCCTCAGAGTCCAACACAGGGCTCTCAGCGCTGCTGCCAGTATCACTAGGTGCGTGTGCCGGTGTTGTTTTCAAAAAGGCGACGCAGGGTGTAGATCTGTGCAGCAGCGACTGTCAGCATGACCAACAGGTTGACACAGGACCAGAAGGACACTCTCCACAGGTTGTTCTCCAACAGGTAGCGGTCCCTGGCCTCGAAAGCCCTCAGCACACCAAGGATCTGACGGCTTTTCTCCAAGTGCTGGTTCACTGAGTCCATTTTCATCTGGAAGACAAAGGAGAAGAAGAAAAAGAAGCAGAGTAACGATTAAGAAGACCTAGAACATCTAGATTAATGATTTGGGAATCCAGACTGTTCCCACCCTGATGTCCTCAAGTTTGTACTCCATCACAGAGTCAGTCATCGTGGCCACACCGTCCAGACCACCAGCTCTACTGCTGGGACTGTTGGATCTAATGACCAGCTCAAAGTAGATGATCTTCTCTGACACTTTGCTGTAACTGTTGTCAAAACACAGCTTGTAGTCTCCGTCCTCAGTGAAGGCCACGCTGCAGACAGAAAACAAAAGGATTTTCAAAATTAAACATCTTTCAGGCTTTCTTCTGTTGGTACCAGAGTCTGAATGACCTGTCGTTTTGAAACATTGTCAGAATATCTTTTAATGAAAAATGTCAAGGGATATGACTGCATACCTTTTGAATGAAGTAAATCATTAAAACTACTCTAGACTCTAAAGTGAGTGAAACTCAGAATAGAGTCCTGGCTCCAATATTGAGTAACTGACTGATTCTGCTGCCTTTGCGTTCTGAGCTTTGCAGGAAACATGGACATGTGAGACAAGTGAGCAAGCCGAGTACTTTATCTTTTGTTCAACTTTATCTACAAGGAAATGAAACATGAGTCATGGTACAATACTATTAAAATACAGAACAAAATTTCTGAATGAATGTGTATAATTTGGTACTCTGTTGACTAACAGCTGAGGACGGATGGTAACTTCCCACCCACGTTGAAATACCTGATTGAACCAAAGGAGGGAGGCGGAGTTGAGGGCCTTCCTAAGAAACAGTAGCAAACAAACCCAAGACAAACTACTTTCTTGTTGAGGGTTTGTGGTCTTTTGAATGAATGAAACTTGTATCAAAAAAGCAGTAAAAATGCTGAATATCACAGTTTCTGAGCATCACATATTAATTGGAGAAGTTTCAGGTGACCCACACGTGGACGCCGTCAGAACTCCTGAAGTCAGAGTACAGTCGGTGTCCGCTGGGTGAGATGAGTGTAAAGCCGACATCCAGACCGTATCCAGCTATAACCTGTTCAAAAGAACAACAGGTGCATTTCAAGCGTCATGCAAAATATCTTCACATTCCTTTACATTTATCTGTGACATCCACTCAAATTGACGGCTTCAGCAACAGCTTCCTGGAATCTCAGTGGAAAAAGAAGAAAAAAAAAAATCATATTATTTTTTCTTTTTTATCACCTGTGGGCTCTGGTAGCACCTGAAAGTCTTTGACTCTCAGTGCTGTCACCTACTGGCCTTTTGTATGATGGGCGCAATTTCTACACAGGTTGCTAAATAACAATGATACACAGAAAATACAGCCAGAGGGCAAAGTTGCTGAAATAATGACACAAAGAACCAATACAAAAGTACTGTTATGTGCATTACTTATGTAGAATTGTTTGATTTAATACTGCCTTCATGGTATTCCTGCACGCTCAGTTCAGTGTTATCTTCCTTCCTTCAATGATCAAAGTCCAGAGTCTGTTTTTTTTGTTCTCCCTTGAGACTGGAGTTATTCACATAAATCGACACATTTTTTAAAACTTCAACCAAATCCATTACTGTCTAGGGCGGCATAAATGTGGTCAGAATAAAAAAAGTATTTACCTGGTATTCAATGTCCATGCCATCACTTTTTGTGGTAGTTTGGTAGAAACACTCGGTGCGTCCGGCAGGTAGCAGAAATGTCAGTGACACGTCTTGATAAGCTCCTGAAGCTGAAGTCACGACGACGGTCAGCGCGGAAAGTGTCATCAAACACAGCAGCTCAGACACATCCATCGTCGTGCGGCCGCAGTGCATGGTCCATTTGATCAGAGTAGAAACTCCAGCAGCTTCGGTACAAGGCGGTCACCTTTAAAATCTACTTCACTGTGTTGTCTTCATGTGTCTCTGACACCTGGAGAAGAGCCTGATGGAAAAGTACTTCATTCAACATGGCGACAGCTGTCCAGAGATCTGCACTCTGGACAGCAGCCACGTGCAAATCTGAAAGGCAGGGTCAAAGGTCTACACATACTGTAAACCTCACCAAAAGGTCTGATTTCTTTGTGACATTTTTGGTTTTGTTAAGTTTTGTTTTTGTTGGGACCAGAATAGAACTTACAAAAAAACAAATAAAATAAAAAAATATCATAAATATCAGATACTATATTTTCCAGACCATACGATTTTTATTGACAACGATCTTCAGCGAGTACTTCAGTGTACTGCTGTTATTTACTGCTCATATACAGTAGATTAGTAGTAGTAACTAGTAGTTTAGATTATTCCTTATTATTAGTAGTAGATTAAAAATTCATGGTCGCAGCTCCCATGTTTTCTTTCTCTGGTAACTTGCATTTTCTCTGCAAGAACTCTTAGGTGACATGTAAAGCAGTAAATAGTAAAAAAAAAAATCTGCTACTTAGTTACTGGTTAGTTCATGTACTAGTTCATTTATTTGTTTTCTATAGGTAATTGCTAATTCCAAAAATGACTAATTGCCAATTCCAAAAAGGGATAATTGCTAATGAGATCATTGGATTCTAGCTTTATTACTTTTTTTGTCATTTGGGTGCTGCAGAGAAAGTCAGTCTGTTGTTCAGGAAGAAGTCAGTCGACCTGTCTACCTTCATGTCTGAGGTTTCTAACCGCCTGCCGTGTTTTCTCATCTCTCCATCTTGTCTGTCAAAGAGCTGTGCAAGAGCAAAATTTACTGGAACCAACCACAGGCGAGTCCACCCATTTCCTTTTTATTACACTTTTTCTGTCTCACAACTCTGCCTTTCTATACAAACCCTGTGAAGCAAGGCATCTCAACACTTCTAGAGGACATTGGTTTATTTTTCTCTCGCTCAGACAATGAGCTGTGACACAAAGACCAATGATGGGTGTTCTTCTGGGTACGTGGCGGACAGTGCCATCTCCAGGCCTCTGATTCCACCCAGGCCGGGTCAAAAGTGTCAACATGGATGGGTTTCCCACTCCCTGCTGATCATGCTGGTGAACGTGGCTTTATGTGGCATGGCCATCCAAGCCTGCTTCATCTACCGTCTGTACCAACTCAAACCTGTGAGTGTCAGCTTTACACCTGCCTACACACTTTATTAAAATGCATTCAGCTGTGTATTATTGATGAAGTCACTTTTTCCCCCCTGTTTCATTTGAATTTTCCATGGAAGCTCATTTCTGTCCTCTCTCAGGTCAGACTCTCAGTTTTGTTCAATGAATTTCATTTCTGGTGAAAACATCTTTTAAATTAATTGTGATTGTGATGCAGAATGAAACCATTTCACATTTTAAAAAAGTTACATACCTAAATACATACAAAAAGTAAAAAATGGAGCAAGACATTTTCTTAAATGCTCAGCACATGATATAGATTTGATCTAGAATATATAATAAATATATAATAATTTCTCTCTGTGTCATTTTCTTTCTTCCTGACTTATTTCCTGATAACTCTTTAAATTAAACAGTTAAGCAGCGAGTGAACTTAAATAAAGTCATGTTAGTGATTCATATTTATTTCTCCGTCCAAAACTGCTGACAGCAACAGAAGGATGTTATGGTTAAGAGTTTGGAGAAGTGGAAGTTTGTAAAAAAAACATCACTGTTGTAAACTTCATTGTTCACGTTATTTCCTGTGAGCAATTCATGGTGAACCCCCCCACTAAAAACCCAAAACACCAATCTATTCATCAAACCTATTCTTTCTCTCTTTTTATGTTTCTTTCTTTCTTTTCTTTTTTGTTAATATTCAAATTAAATATTCCAAATATCCCGCCTCATTTTTTTTGTAGGACACTCCAGCCATGTCTTCTAAACTTGTTGGAGGTAAAGTACAGTACATCTCATAGTTTTACCTTAAATTATCCTCGTTTTTGAACTTTGTTGTCATGTAAAGACATGTTGTCCTTGTCTTCTTCCTCCAAAGATGGAAAAAAGGAAGTATCTCTTCCTGCAGAGTGGCCCGGATACAGCAATCCTTCCAAACCAGCGGCACACCTCACTGGTGAGAACACTCCTGCCGTCAGGTCTTAGTGGTCTAAAGAAAGCATGTGAAGTACAGTGTACACAGAAGGAGGTGTAGGCATCAAGTTTAATTTTGAATATTTTCATCCATCTTCTTCAGTTGTGCTGTTTCCAACACCTTAGAAAGTCTTTCCTAACATTGGTAGCAGGATAATGCGTTGTCAGCATTTTGACTGGTGTGACTCGTGATCCAGTAAATGTTAAATAATAATAATGATAATTGCTGAGTTGCTTAATTTAGGGACGCACTGCTTTAATGTCATGCCTCAGAAACAATACAATGGCCCATAGATGTATTTTGATGTCAGTGCTAACAATGCTAATTCAACATTTTTTCCCCATCTTTCTTCTTAGCATCCCAAACGGCTATTTTATTATTTGTTTTTTTTTTTGCTTATGATATAAATATGTACAATATCCATATACATATTTTGAATTATTTTTATAGCTACAAAAAACACTGCACTATACCCTATACACTATTGTGGGCTAATTGCTAATCACTAGTGGGGGTGTGTGATTGCTGAATTGTTGGATGACTGTCCTCCTGTTCCACATCTGTTCCACGTCTGCTGACACACCCATATGTTTTTCATTGTTCCCACTTCCCGCTACAGATCTAGACGCTGTCATCGACTCACTTTGCTGTACTGTGTCTGTTTTCTCCTCAGATGGCCAGGACATATCCCATGGACCTAATGTCATGACATGGAGCACAATTGCAAGTCCTCTTCTCTACAAAATGGACTACAAAGACGGAGGTCTTGTTATTCAAAAGGAAGGTTATTATTACGTCTACTCAAAGGTGTTCTTTTTGGACAAGAACTTCTTTCAGCACTCGGTTGTTCTGTGCACGGAGAAGTACAGTGGGAAAGCCATCCCTCTCCTTATGTCTGAACACTTGGCCCCCAAATCCAGGGAGGCGTGGTCCAACAGTTACCTCGGTGGAGTGTTTCACCTCGACAAAGACAGCGTTCTTCTTGTGAACGTCAGCAACACCAACAAACTGAAGCGGCACCGGTCCTTTGAGAACATCTTTGGTGCATATATGATATGAGAGCGTGTCAGTGTACAGGATTGGACTTACTTGTTTTAATTGTTTTTATCTCTGGTATCTTTTTCCCGATATCCCATATGCCGATATTATCCAAACACTTTTGATTCCGATATCAATTAATACCGATATATGCAGCCGTGTGGGTTAAAGGCACCTGACACATTTCATTGTGTGCAGTGGTGTCCTAATGACAATACTGTTTTACAAATACGAATAATAGTCACATGAGGTCACATGATCTAGGCCTAACCCAGACATTTATCAGGTTTTTGTTATTGGAGAAAAAAAAAGATAACTTGCTTTTTTTTTCTTGCGTCAAAAAGAGGGGGGAGAAGGTGAGTAATATTTGAATTACTCTGGGTGTGTCCAAGTCTGCTGGGATGAACAGATAAAGTGTTTAAATGCTTTCATCATATTACAGCCGTATATCATATTACACTAAATTTCACTGTTTTCTTTTTACCGCTTTTTACACAAATTTAAGATCAGAATATGCTCAATGTTTTTGGTTTTTTGTTTGTTTTGTTTTTAAAAAGTGATACGCTCCCTGCTCTATATCCTGCACCTGTCAACATAGCTCTCAGTGTGTGCACAACTACAATATACTGGTATTGCATTAAAGAGAAATTAAAGAGAAAATCAACACGTGTTGCTCAGTGATCAGTACGCAAGCTGGAAACCAAATGTGAGAAGTCAAACGGGGTCTGGTTTTGCAGGATCCTCCACAGTAGTTGATGAGATGCCGGCCTGCTCTGCCCTTCTTGTACACATCCTTCAGGAGGCTGACTGTTGTCAAGAGACACCGTGGTGCAGAAATATGGTTTGGGCAGCTCAGCTTATAGAGAAAATGGACAGATTGGTCATTATTTGGGGGTCCTTTTGTTTTCATCGACAGATGATTGATGTAAATATATTAGCTAAAGGTTGACAGATTACTGCTGTAGTTTGACAGAAGATTAGGACACGTTCAGAAGAGAGAAACGTATTTTTTTGATTTGTCAACAGTGCCACGCTATACTTTTATGAGTTGCTTTTGTTTATAACAATCTGAAAAATATACAAAAAAAAAAAACTTTCCTCAAACTTAAGTTGTTGTTTTTAAAATGATTCATTTCCTGCCGTATCATGTAACACGAGTGTGTTTCTGTAAATGTTGTTTAGACCAGACCTGGCCACTGTACGGCTTGTGCGCCACATCCAGCCCTCTGAGATCGTCATTAAATCAATATCAAAAGCTAGCTACGACACCTGTGTGTGTGTGTGACGTGGTTTCCTTGTGTTCGCACTTGTGTTCATTCTCAGTTTCCTGCCAGAGCTGCTGTCATGTTTGAAGGCCTTTTTTTCAAGCTTTTTTTCTGAATCTTTGAAGCTTTTCTTTTCTTTTCTTTTTTTATTGTGGTTTTGTTTCACATTTTTCATGCACGCACCGTTACTTTCCCTTCAGCTTCTATTTGCTTTAAACACCCACATGTTTGTCTACATGTAAATTGCCGGAGGAAGGAGGGAAGAAGACGTGGGCAGGTCATCTGACTCACTTTCCAACTACCAGAGTGGTGTGACGACTGCTGTCTACCTGGGTGTAATTATAGTAATTATTAATTATGGTGGGGAAATTCACACTCTGGATCCTACCATGGTGATGCCGTTGTCTGTGTTGTCTACAGGTGCTCGAACAGACAGGCTGCAGCCAGGACCGTGAGTGGGGGGGCAGATGGTGACAGCTGTTTCCTGCAACTTCTTCTTCTTAGTATTTCACCCTGCTGCTTGACTCAACCTGATAACAGGATTTATGTAAGGAAATGTGCAACAGCTGATTTGAAATTCATACTTATGAGTGTTTAACACATAGTGTACTGAGTGTTAGGTATGTACGTAGTCTCGTCTGTTCTAAAGAAAAGCAACAGGTGATGAGTAAACCAGCTTCTAATCAAACCTGAAAGAGGTGGTCGTCGTACACAGCTAAATAGTTTTCCTTGTATTTAACCCTTTATTTTGGAGCGGTTGCAGGGGGCCACAGCAAGCTGAATGCTTGACATTAGTCCTATTTACCAAAGGGGGGCACTGCAAGGGGGTGGGGAGCTGCTTTAAGTGGTATAGAGCAGCATTTGGACATTTTTGGGTCTTAGAAAAAATAGAAATTCTTGTCCTGCCTTTCCATGTGTTTTAATTTTCAAAGGCTGTACAGACCCTTCACTTATTTCCAGTGGCTACGAGAACAGCATAGCCGGCTTTCGTGTCCACAACTCCACGCTGGTGGTACTACTGGTACAGTAGTAGGTGTCACAAACACTGCAGTGGTGGTTTCAGACGAGTATCTGGGGGGAGAAAACCAGTGTGGAGAAGTGAAACTGTTGAGTCAAGCACACTGTGTTTGTGTGTATTACTTCATCATTGTACCGTGTATATTAGTCAAATAAGGCTTTTATTAGGAATAAATCCCTTTTGTTCGTGGAACAGTGTTGGCCAGAGCTGCTGTGTGCTGAGCATTCCAACTAGTAGTGCTACACAAAAGGTACGAGGTGTAAAAACACTGAAACACTGATTCAGAATGATCAGTTGTCGACCTCATAATGTGTTCAACATGTCCGCTCAAACATTATCTTTGTCCCACATTTTATGGATCAGTTCCTGGGTCTGTACACATAGTTCCTGGTGTCATGTGTAAACAGTATATACCTGTCTCCCTCAACCAGTCTTCATATTCATGGTGTGTGTGTCTATTGTGGCTGTGAGTGTTCCTGCATTCTGAGTTCTTGGTTTCTAGCGAGTTATTGTTATTTTGAAATTCAAAAATAAACGTTTTGCATATGAAGACAGTCACACTCAATGGCGGTACGTAACACCTGCCTGTTTAAGCTTCGATACACGTTTATTAAAAAGCCCATCCATACATTTTTATGTGCTTATCCGTTACCAGGTCGCAGGGGCAGCAGTCGCCACCCAAATCACACTGCACCGTACCAGCCCCCCCCCCCCCCCCCCCCCGCACCGTCCTGCAGGTGGTAAGTCCACTGGAAGGTACCAACCGCCCTAATCGGGATTCAATCTTTGAGAGACATTGCCTCTGGGCCAACGCGACACAATTTCTTAAAAAGTATTAAAACAATTAATAATAAAAACTGTTAAAGTAACATAAAATAAGGCCAGAATTATATCAGTTAGTTATTAAAAGGTAATTTATTAGAAAAATAAATAACAAAAGGTCAAAAGGTGACAACATCTGTTAAAATATTAAATGGAAGAATATTTCACAAAAGTTTATTCCATTTCATCCATCTGCAAGTGTCTTGACTGTGGGACTACGTAGAGGAAAGCCATGATGCACTGGGAGAACGTGGGCCACATTTGCCACCATGTCGCCCTTAAACATTTTTGTAGTTCTGAAAGTTTCCTACTCTGCTAATGGACCGGTAAATTATTGAAATTTAAAAATGTGCTCATACTTCTGCTTATGTTAATGATAAAAAGGATACATTAATAAGTGGAAACTAACCACATGCATTGGTATGAAGGAGTAGGATCTGGAGGTAACACCTGATATACCCTCTGTTGAAATGCCTGATTGTGGTTTGTGTCTTAGTAATTTGGAAATCATTGCGTCTAAGTTGCGATGACTAATTTTCCGATGACATTTGCGAGTCGTCTTTTGTTTCAATGCACGTCCACATTAGGCTCTTTCGATTAGTATTTCTGAAGCTGGAGGAAATGTTCTTCAACAGCACACCACAAGGGGGGTCGTCACCTCTTCAAACCCATTATCTGGAGTGACTGTAAACTTTTGACCTTGTGTTTTCACTTTGTGAAATCAGAGGGTCGCTGAGTCACAGACCATGACAATCTCTTGTGAGTCAGTGAATGAGCTCAGCATAACTCTTCGCTGATTTGACAAACATAACATAAGAAGTTTTTTTATAAAAAATAAGTCAAAGAAATATAAATCCTAAACTCAATTAAAAACATTCATGCAAGAAAACTTTATTGACCAACGGGTCTTAATGTGTGGCACAGGAAATGAAGTCAGTCAGTTTGATCAAGTCATTTTGTCTAACATTCTTATCGTTAAAATACATTTACTGATGACAATTTCCCAGCAAAATCAATAAATACATTTTTACATTCATTACAAATTCACCTTATATTTAATAAAGGCTTATGCATACCGTGTCTGTACATTGCATATATTTCAAGTCAAAGTAATAAATAACTACAATATAAATATAATTATATATAATATTTTGACCATACCAAGAAAAAAAAAGTACAATCAGCTGAGCAACGACAACATGCAAACCAAGCATGGCTACAAATCATATGTTGTATTCATTGGGTCGACTGAACAAAACCAAAGACAAGAGGTTTAACAAGAATAAACAATTTCAAGTTTAAATATTGAGCATGCAGCCATGGCCGTGAAAAATAAACCGTGGAAATAAATTGTAAGAAAATTGTCAGATTCTTAATGAGCCGCTGGAAGTGTATGTTGGTGTATCCCTGCAGCAACTGTGTTTTGTGTTTTTCTGAGTGAGAATGTGACACAGTCTGGTCAGTCAGCAGTCCAACCCAAAAGATGGGCTCACTAGATGAGACTTACTTCTATATGAAAATGCGTCTGAATTTAAGTTTTCGTTACAGACCGGTACTGACTGTAAGGTCCTCTAGCTGTTCTGTTTAAAGGAGCCTCTGGTTGAGATGTGTGTAGTAGTATAAGGTAGTATAATGCCTTATACCCACGAGGTTGTAGTTAAGTATGTTGTTTTCAACCAAAAGAAAAGCAAACAAATATAGTTGTTAAAAACGTAATCAATAAAAAGACTATTTATCTATGCACTAAAAATCAGCGTTAATCCCTGCCAGTATACTCCCATTTGTTTACAGGATTCCTGATTTTTAAAGTGTGGACACCAAACTTCGCGTCCTGACCTAGTCACACACAAAATTAACTGAGTAAGGAAGATTTTTGAACAGGCGGACCCTCCCCCCGAGTTTAATAAAGGACTCCAGCCATTTCTAACCACTACGCTAACTACTATTATAACTATTGCACATGATCAATGAGTAATGTCAGTGGGAAATGATGTTCAATCAGTAATAGAGAATGAACACGTGTTGACATAAAGTTTGTACACCTAGCCAACTGGCCCACCCCGTGGCCTAATTAACTCCAGGCCAGGGGGATGTAGATCATGTCCAGGTGAGTTAAAAACTCAGTTTTATTAATAAAGGCCACAGGTTCAACAGTGACCTTCAGCTTCTGTTGGGCTCGAAGTCCCCACACCTTACTGAGGATCCCCGTGCTGCATGACTCTGTGTTGATCTGACCCTGCAGGATAATGTTCTCGTCCACGAAGAGACGGATTGTGTGTCTCTCTTTACACGAGTCATTGAGTGTCACTTGAAGGTTTAGGAAGTAATGTCCATCCTTATTTATGATCAGATCTTCTTTCACCGTGACTGGCGTGGTATCCGGATTGTTTGATACCCATTTAATTTTCTCAACTGTAGGGTAATAAAGGAAAAAGAGCAGATGTTAGCTTTAATGAAGGATGCATTCATTTGGTGATTTTTAATGAGCTTTATAAAGAAGTTTTATTTTTTTGCAGTTTAGTTTTATTTATGTATTTGTCTTTGGCAAGGATCCTGGTCTCTAAGGTCTCTCAACAAATTTTTGATGGGAGAAGAGATCAGGGCTTTGTGAAGGAAATTTGGGGGGAAAATGCTTCAGGTCATAGTGGAGTCAGGCTAACACTACATATAAATCAGATCCAATTTTGCTGGTGATTGAATTGTCAGCACTGCTGGGTTAACAACTGTCCTCCATTCTATGAGATTAATTTATCTCACCCTCACCAATCACCGTTCACCTTTGATCATCTTATTTATACTTGTCAATATCAATACAAATTCAAAGTACAAGTTATAGTATGCTTAGAATTCTAACTTCAGAAAATACAAGTAAACATTCCATTAAGGATCAGAAAATGCTCAAGAACAACACAAGGAAAACAGCTGAGCAACAGGTTCAAAGAGTCAGAACATGACTCACTCATATATATATTTACCTTTATCATCTCTAGCAGCTTGAAAGCTAAGCATTTTTCCTGGGCGCAAGGGAAGCTTGTCCTCAGGGGAAATCTGCAAAAAAATGTTAAAAAAAACACCATTAATGTGGCATAGTGACAAAACAGCTGTGGCTAAAAAAGGCATCGAGGAAGAATGGTTGTAAATGGTAGAGTTGAATGTGTAGTGTATATATATTAATCAAAATTGATTAACCCTTCATCATTTACCCTTAGGACAAAAAAACAAACAAAAAAAAACAAACGTTGTCTTAGGACTCTAAGTGGTTGCCTGAAACATCTCGGTAGCTTTGAACACATATATATGTGAGAAAAGTGTTAGATCATACTGCCATGGTTGTCTTACCGAAGGCGTTGGTGCCTTGTGCTTCATTAACCCTAACGCTGTGACAGAATTATTCTGATGCTGAAGGAAAAACACAAATCAGGTTAAAAGACAATAAAAGGTAGTACATTGTACAATCAGAATACTTATTTGACCTCTGACCCTAAAATCAACTTGTTCATTTATGAATATTCTATTGTTATTGTGGGATTAACAAAACAAGAAGGGTTCTAATACCAACTTTAGCTTCAGTGTAAGAATAATTAAAGGCAATTTCTTTTCAAGTTTTTTTTTTTTTTTTTGCTTTTTCTTCAAAAATCTTTTTGACAACATTTGTGAAGCAGACCACAGCTGTTCCACTACAGAAACCACAAGAAAGAGCAAATGTATCACTCAGACGACAGAATTTCCAATACTCGTCACGGTTCTTACACATACACAGGCGTCAAACGACTGCTACAGTTGCTACAGAGTCTGTGTTGGCTTTTTCTTAAATAAGCGAAACTACCCTAAAGTCAGTCTTACCACACTGTGATGTCCAGCTGTGAGGTAAAAGGTGATAAATGCCACTTGGATTATGGAAAGTATGCTGATCCACAACAGGAGTACGTACACCAAGGGATGGTGGGTATGATGTGGCATTGTCCGTCTGACAGCAGTGCACGGAGCTAAGTGAGCCTGGTGAGAGCACACACTCTGATTTAAAATCAAGTGGGAGTTTCCTCTGCTGTGAGCAGTGATGGTGTGTTTGTTTACTTCCTGAGGTGAGGGTGTGCTCGTAAAGAGGACGTCTTAAAAACCAGTTACTTCGGTGTTTGTGGGAGAAAACAGAAATTTGTGTGGTACTTTCCCTGTATGATGCTTTCAAAACTCTGTTGATCTGGGGACTGGCCCTTCTCCTACTCATCACCACTCACTCTCAGAAAAAAGGAACAAATCTCACAACCAAAGGAAAAAAAGGGAAATATGGCACGACAAGAGTTTGTAGGAAGTTGAAAATGAAAAGTCTAAATTCAGTTAACAGTAGCTGAACATCTGCGGGTACATCAGCCTGAAATGCTGTTGACATTTAGAGAATAGTGACTGTTTGGAACATTTTGTAAAGCAAGGAGGCTCTATAATGGTTTGGAGGTGTAGAAGAATTCTCACCTTTTGTGGTGATTGTTATTCAGGTCAGTTTCACTTTTTCTGCTAGGGAAAGTTTAAGGGCAGCAAAACAGATTGGGTTTTTGTGTCAGGTATTTGTCAACGGAGTAAACACGGGACCAAAACTGAATTGACAGGGGTGCAGCTGTGTAGGCCACATATTCAACCACAGCAGCATAACACGAGGCATGTGAAGTCATGTTTTGACTGTGGGAGCATTCGCTATACAATAACTCAATATTATAAGTTAAACTCATATGTACATGTCTTTTGTGAGATTATTTCATGACATGTCCCTATTTTATTTTTACTTGTCCACTGACTAAACAGACAGGGGCACCGCAAGGAACTGTTCTTGCTCCTTTTCTTTTCACCCTGTATACTGCCGCCTTAAACCACAACACGGAGAACTGTCACTTACAGAGGTTCTCAGATGATACAGCCATTGTCGGGCGTGTATCTGATGGGGACGATACAGAATATAAATCAGTGACCATTGATTTTGTTAAGTGGTGTGAAGTGAACTGCCTTCAAATCAACACCACCAAAACCAAGGAGATGGTGAATAGATTTTCGTAGGAGAACCTCCCACCATACACCAGTGAACATTCAGGAATGTTTACATGATGTTTTCAATAAAAATGCGAAAGATGTGGGAGATATTTGTTTAATCAGACAGTTTTGGTGTGTTACTGTTACTGGAAAACAGTCCAGAAAGCAAATTTAGGCAAAAATTCCATGATGTCCTGATGAGTCACGGTTGTAATAATAGAAAATGCTTTAAACAATGTTTGTTTATTTTCTAGATTTTCATACCATCTAAAAACAAACAACATAAAAAATGTGACAATGAGTGATTTATAGTCTCAGGTGAGCCACAGAGGGGTGAAAAATCACCGCCGTTAAGCTGACATGACTTGGCTGAGGGTGTTTAATGACACATATTGTACAGTCCTTGGCAGTTTATCTTATTCACTCATGAAATATTCATTGGTTTTTGTTGTTTTTACATTTGGTTATATATATATATATATANAAGAACAAAAAACGAGTATTTTAACTCAGCTGGAATAACGAATTACTGCCATCTAGTGGCAACAAACGACGAAGGAAAGAATCTGAATTTAGATAAATATATATGTTTGTGATATATTGTGATATACCGTATGATTTAAGGGGATTCAAATGAAAAGTGGACTTGAAAACAAACGAAATTAAATTCGTTGAAAATTACAGCCTATAACATTGTTTGCACTGCAGTATTACTACAGCATTTGTATCATGGCCCTATATTATAAATAATATTAATATTAATATTAATAATATAAGTGAACTTTTTATATAACAGTCGACAAAGCTGGCGATTTCCTGTGTGTAGAATTACGGGCCTGCAAAACGTTAAAAAAAAGGAATGTTTTTGTATTGTAAGTGTGTGACTTTAGTTCAGTTGCGTTGGAATTCGTAGATGCACGCAGAATAAGTAATAATAGCAAAGCAAAAGGCAATGCGAGATTATCCAGGTAACGAAAATAAATTAACAATCAAATAAATACATGAACAAATGACTACATGTTTGTTCAAGTTAAGGTAGGCATATAGCCATGCAATTATATACGTGTAATTTAACAATTTTAATGCTAAGGTAAAATTGTCGATCAAGATTTCCAAGACCCCCGTGCAGTTGCTCCTTTGATCCTCACGGGGTCACAAACTCTCTGTTAAAGAACTCTGTTGCAGAGTGTAGATCAATTGTTTTTAATTCTGAACGTGTTATATCTCATTCAACTCACTGTTGTTTAAATAATACCCAGCTTCGGATTTTTTTAGGGGACTCAGACCTACTGTTGAAAAGATCTGTAGTTGTACGTCTACACTGTAAAACCAAATATGGAGTGCTGTAAATTACAACATAAAAAGTGTAAATAGAAAAACAACGAGGCAATGTTTAAGTGATCATAATTATTTGTAAAATAGAAAACTAGGGCAACTGTCATTTTTACAGTACTAATATGTCACATTTTCTTGTAAAATTAACAGATTATTGTAATTTAAACTGAGAAAACATTTAATACAAAAAGCAATATAATACATTTAAAATAACAACTTGGCAGTGCTAAAATGACTTTATTTTAATTAATAAACATATTTAACAATTCGTGCTTTGAAGAGAAGAAATTGTGTGGATTTACGTTAATAAGAAGTATGTTATTCATAAAAGCATTTGATCTTAATTAAGATCAAATACAATTTAGAATGAACAACTACTGTATATGTTAAGAAACGAGTCAGCCTGTAATACATATATGCGGAATCAAGTATAATATGAGTATATATAAATATAAATGTATAAATATAGATAATTGTCAAAAACTTTATATAAATACTCATTGTTTGTTACACGGAACTGTTCTTATATGCAGTCTATAGAAATAATAAGTTTGACATTTCCGATGGCTCATCCTTATCCAATCAGAGAGCAGCAGAGTCTGTTTGAGTCATTTCATTACACCGCTGAACCCGCAACGATGGGAGTTTGACCAAGTTCATAGCCGCTAGTCTCGTCGTGTGCACCTGCTAGCTTGAAGTAAAAAAATGGAAAGAAAAGAAAAGAAAACTGAAGAAGAAGAACAAGCTTGAGGCTGCATCAGTACGAGGGCAACCAACATTGTACTAGTAAGTAGATGTAACGGCGGTTATCTATCTTAAGGTGTGTGAATATTATTTTGTTAGAAAAAACTCTAGCGTATTTTGCCATTTCAACTCGACAGACGGGTTTAGCTAACGCTTGTTTGGTTGTCGGCCTTGGTGCCTTTAGTTTCTAAGTAATCTGTGCTGTGTCGTGTTTATATGATGTGTCGTTTTCCAGCAGCATGACGGTTGGAAATAAACGTGCCTTTGCTAACTGTTAGTTAGTAAGGAACCATTACACAGTGAAGTACGCCAAAATGTGAGGGTTTCTTTTCAATGTGTTGCGCTGACCGAAAGCAAGTACGTTGCTAGCATAATAAACGTTAGCATCACAGGCGCGTAGCAAGCTGTTGAGTTAGGATTTTTTGTTCAAACAGGTTTTGCTAAAGATCAGTTTATAATGAACCACTACATAGTCAAGGCAGAAGATTAGATTCGTTGAGAGTTTATTTGCTGCATTGTAGTGTTCAATCAATCCAGAGGAGGGCACTAAAGTGGTGAAGACGTGCACTCGTCTTCAAGTAAACCCTCAGGTCCCAACTTTAATTCAGGAAATATTGAGAGATTTGAAATCATGAGGGAACTTTGAACATGGACTAACAAAGTACAGGTGATGTTTCCCTACTCACACTTACTTACACAAAATTACTTTTCTTATTTTTTATCATTTACATGCAGGAAACCTAATTCTTGAAGTCTTGCTTGATGACAATGCAATATCAAATAAGGGAAATGCTGTGCAGAGGGCTGATTTATTTATTTTTTATTTTTTTACAGATGCATATAAAAGCAAAAACCAATGCTAAATGGTGCTTAAGGCGGTAGGGTTGTTTATCATCTTTCTTATGCTTCTTTATGACATATGTTGAGGGGGGAAGAAGTTGTTTTTTTCCTAGTTCTCTTCACTGTGTCTCACATGTGCGAAGAAAGTACAGATTACATTGAATTGTCTAAGTGTTCGATCTGCTTGTAATTCAAATATGAGTTTTAACAAGCAAGAGTATTAACCTACTCTAAGACAGTTTTTCAGTATGTGTGAGTTTGTGTGAGATTCATGTTGAAAAGGACTCATAAAACAGGATGTTGTCTTTAAATAGTAAATTTGCTTTTATGCTCAAATATTTGAAGTAATGTAAAGTAAGTGTTACAGATTTTGATGAATGACATATTGCATTGACGGTAATAAATCTTTGGAAAGACAATTTCATTTTGCTATTTTTTCTCACTGTGTCTTACTTGTCTTACTATTTAGTTTTTTAATCTGTGTACACTGCGTTATATCATATGTATATATCATATTTCTATTAGATGGGAAACATTTCTAAAGGCAGTGCATGTCAATTTGCCTTTTAGTATGACAATTGCTTTTGTTTTTAACTTGTGATAATTTTGAGGTGATGAAAATTGCTTTACAGTTTTGTTTTTGGAATAGATTTTAAATCAGTTAGAAAATAATTGTATGCATCTTTAAAACGTGAAGATTTTTAGGAGGAAAATCATTTACAGTTTATAGATGTCATATATAAACATTGTTATAGTACATTTTAAGAATTATTAAGAGTATTTAATACACATGTTTATTTTTTAAAAACCAAATAAAAATGTATACATTTGGCTGATCGATAAAAATTCAAAATCCACCTGCAGTACTACAGTCGCCTTCTAGGGTTCGCTGCCCCTTTCAGATTTAGAGTTCAAGTCCCAGGGTTCAAGTTTAATGGAAATTGCGTCCCTGTATTTTCAAGTGTAAAGTTTTGTGTCAGGGTCCCTGCCCCTAATAAAACGTTAAATAAAAAATCAAATAAATAAAAGTGTGATAAGTGAAAGTCAAGAAGAGTCCTCTATGGTTTTAAGATGGTGTTCAAATCATTAGTCAAATCATGAATCAAGTCTAAATTGGGTCGACATTGGCTGTTTTACTCAATACTTTTGATATCATTTCTATATAACCTTTAAGCAAAGTACATGGATCTATTTACTGTATGAATGTCACTCTTATTCCACCTAAAGATGACCCACTCTCATTAGCAGTTGTCCTACCGTTAGGGAAGTGAAGGGAGACTTTTATTTTGAAATTTCAAAGTACTCCCTGCACTAACGGCTGTTCTCTTGACATTAGTGTGGCCGCTGCACAGTAGAGCAGCCTTTCTGAACACGCACACTAAACTTTGTTGTCACCTTTATATAAACCGAACTTTGAAGCTTTGTATTGAATCTGTTTCCGATAAGGACTGTTTTTTTTTGTTGTTGTTGTGTGCGACTTTACCAACACTTGCCTTCCCTTTTTTCCTCTTGTTTTTATACATGTCAGGCGTGAAGCGGCACCTTCGCGTTTAGCGGCTCGGTGTTGCAGCTTGACCCTGGTGTGCTGCTGTCAAACCTCCGCTAACATGGATTCGTCGCAACGAGAACGAGTGGACTGACGGCTTTTAATATCTTTCTTCAAAAAGCACCAGCGAAATAGCACCTGGGTGCAGCGACGCTTCTAGTATAGAGTTGTTCGTAACCAACAGTAAAAGGACATGCAAAAGTTCAACTCCACCGGCACCCACAACAACACTCTGCCCCGGGACGCCGAGCTGCAACTGCGGCTATCAGACAGCGCAGTCTCCGGGGAGTCCGGGATGGAGAACGGAGCCGGGAAGCATTACCTACGCCACCAGCATGAGGAAGAGGAGAGCTCCTTCTGGAGCAAGAGGAAGATGCTGGTCTGTTTGGACGTTATATGTCTCTGTGTTGGTAAGAAAACGTACACTCTTATCCCGCTGTTTAACAAAAGACATCATCTGGGGTAAAAAAAAAAAAATCTTTTTAAAATGCAAATCTACCAAATACCCCAACCAGTCATCACTGTGGAGAAGCACTAACCCATGTTTGTTTATGGTTTTAATTTCACGCCTGTCAACATAAATCTTTAAATCCTAGTGACTTCTTAAAAGGGCAAATGAGGAGGTTTAACTATTCTGGTTTTGAGTGATGGGGCGAAGTCCCTTTGGTTTGGGGATTTGTTAAAGTTAACGAAGCTGCAAAACAGTTTTCCAGGAGTCAGGGGAAACTTTTCAAAAAGGCAGAAAAGTTTCAGCTTCAGTGCACGTGGGGGAGAAGAAGGCGAGAGGGGCGAGGAGGGATGGTGGGCTGGAGAAGGAGGGAAAGTCATGTTGGCAGAGGCACAGTTGTCCCGGGAATTCATCTGTTCCCATGGTAACCTCCCAGAGTTCCAGGCCGAAGAACGTGGGAATTTTGATCAAAACAAGTTCCATGCTTCTGCTGTTCTCACTGCAGGATCAGTGAATGTCAGAGGTTGAGTCATTATTTAATACTCACTTACTAGATGAATCATTCACTGCCATCATGTCTGATTAACAGTTTGAGAATTTTGTCAGTGAACTAGAATGGTCACATTGCAGCTTTACAGATTTTTTTTTTTTTTTTTACAACTTTGTCCCCCACAAAAAATGTCCATATTTTCATGTTTCAGTCACGTTTCAACACGGGGATGAAGCTGGTGACACTTTGAGACGTGGATTTGATGCACATTCTTGCTTTTATTGAACTATATATCCCACAATTTGGGTTTTATGAAATAACTAATTGATGACATTGCAGCATTAGCAAACTGATTAAATAAAGTGCCACTGAATTTGTCAAAAAATGTTTTTTCATGAAGTAATTCAGTTATTTTGTCAGGGTTTTTCTTTTACTTGACTGCCAAATACGTATCATTTAATCAGGCATTCCTTCACATTTGTCTGATGCTTAATTACAGTACTTTAATATAAATTATCTGACATTCTGACACTATTAGATGAATAAGCCAGAAAAAGACACAGAACCAGTAAAATTGAATTTAAAAAAACAGGTTACTACACTAATAGCAGTACAAAATCCATAGTATACAGTTTGAGTAACTAAAAGGCCATCAAGTTAAAAGAGAAGACTATGTTGATTAATATCTATTGTCAATACCCATTTCCCCATTTTGTAATTTTGATTTATTTAACTCTGCAGAGGTGTGTGTGTTTTCAGTAGAAGTTAAATAAAAGGAAACTTTTTTTGATATAAATGGATTCTTATGGCAAACAGAAACTTGTCAGGTGCGAACCTGAATATATAATAATATAATAATGAGTTCACTCTGGTAGTTGTCTGACACTTGACCAATAGCTTACCGACTAACGTTACCACCTGCTGTGGTAAAGTGTGACACTTACGACGGTAACAGAAAATGTTAGACTAACTGAAGGTTATGCCTTTATACCACATGACAAAATTGGCACAGGAGCATCTGTTTTGTTGACTTATTTTTTTGGGTCCGGCAGCAGAAGGGAGGTGGAACCCGTCTAGGCAGATCGACAGGTCTCATGTTCGTTGGCAGATAAAATATAACACCTAGTCTGGCCCGCAAAATGGCAACATGCAGCAGTTTTTTTTTTCTCCGACCCTCCAGGTATGCTATTAGCTTCTCAGTCTGCTGCTTCACTGCAGTTTTCTTCAGTGTTTGCAAAGCTGTCCCTGAATGCTGTTGATTTATTCTAACTCTAACAGATTTCTCTTCAAATCACTTCTCTTGAACCCATGTTATATCTGCTGACAACAGGTCACCAGATATTGTACTGCACATTTAATGCTAGAAAAAACAATTGTCTATTACATGTGGCTTTGACTTGTTCGTTCAGTCTTGTGTGCTTTTGATGGATTGATGGGTAAAGTCAAATGTAGTTGATTTAAGAATTTTTTTGGTTTGGGTGGTTGTGTTTAGAATTCAATCTTCTTCTTTCCCTTCGTTAGCCTTCAGTTAGAACATTGATGTCACAATCCTGTTTCTCAGATTAGTAACAATAATATTACATAATAAACCGCCAAGACGGAAATGAGTGAGTACTACTCACTTAAATGGTATCATAAAATGTACTATTACGCTGATAAAGTGAATCAGAGATCACATTTCCATAGTGCTGCAGTGTTTTAGTTGAGTCTTGTGCTTCTTCATTAACCATCCAGACAGTTATCAGCTGAGGCCTGACCTTGACTCATTTGTGGGCATACGCCTCTCAATGCCATCCCTTATTGGAAATGAATCGTCTCGTTCATTAAACTAAAATCCTCTTATCTCTGACTAACTCAATTTTCCTTCAGAAATTGCCGTCATCACAATCTCGGATGGTTGACCTGTAGACATCACTCACTTTGTAAAAGGGCCCATTCACAACTGTATCCTAGGAATGTTGCCCTCAAGCATTCATCCTCATTATGTTATCAGCAGAAGATGAATTCCACATTTTAAGGTTTTCACAGTCTCCCCTTGTCTCATTGTGTTTCCCTCCAGATTCAACGTAGTGGCAATGTAGTGTGTTATGATTTTCACTACGGCCTATGTGGTCTTTCTCAACACCTTACTTGTCAAGTGCTGTCTTAGTTCAGTGTAAGGGCAGTTTCATTTTCTAGCTCTGTTTTGACATGAGGGATGTTTCCCAGCGATGGATTGTTTTGGTTCTGCTCATTGTCAGTCAGTGTGAAAACAAATGCCTGAATCTGTTCAAGTACTTGCATGTGTGTTAAGCACGAGAGCAAATTCTTGTTGAGGGCATTTGAAATTGTTCCCTGTGGATCCATTTAAGACCCAGTGTCCAAGCAAACGAGAGGTCAGAAGGTGTCAGGTGTTCAGTCATATCTACTAAACAGGCAGAGACAGGTCTCCCATCCTGCACTGCTGGTTTCCTCCATTAAAGGTGGTATTTACTCAATCATCACCCCAATAAAGTAACTTTATTGCTTCTCCTAAAAGTGATTGGGAAATGACTGGAAATGACGATGACTTTTAGCTTTACAGCTCAAGGAAACGTGACAATTGCCTCCAGGGTTCACCTTCTAGGATTTAATTGTGAATTCATTTCTTTGTTGGACTCAGGTAAACTACATTCCAATAAAGAAAACATTTCCTTATTTTAAAATGACTGTGTTACTCAAGGTAACTTCTTGAATTTGCTCTTTGTTATATGCCAGACTTTTTTACCATATCACAGATCTAGACTGCATGCCAGCTAGTCATAAGCTCTCTACTTCTACACAGTCACATGTTTTAATCTGGGCCACATGACTCCCAAGTAGCATATAATTTTCCGCGAAGTTTGTTTTGTAGCCTATATTGTGTCCTTTGGTTAATGCTCCCTTTAAGGATGGTCCAATCCTGTTAACATGCAATTTGCTAATAAGAGAACCTTCCAAATGTTCACTTGTGAAGTGATGTTTTTGGCTCCTGTGTGGGAGGGCACAGTGGAATTATTTTTCCAGGCTGCTCTAAATGTTTGGATAAAAACACTACAAATGTTTGCCTTTTTTTCCTCTGCCTGATAAGTAAAGGTTCAAACTGTGTAACTGTTGTACATGGAGATTTTCTGTCCTACCCAACACCTTTTCTGAAATGAGATTTGTAATTTATGAATACTTTGGAAAAATGTAATGATTTTATCAGTCGGTGTGTGAGTGTGTACCTTTTTGTTGTAGACGTGAAGGAGCATGCTGGAACGAAAGGAATGGTATCTACCTGAATGATCTGAATTCTGAGAGGGCTCCGTCTTTCCGGCTTATCTTTGCTTTTTCCTTCTTCCCCTGCTCTCGTCTTCGTACAATCTTCTATTTTGGGACTGAAGGTGTTCCAGCAATGTGGGGTTGGTGTATGAATGTGTTTCTTATGTCTTTGTGCGTGTGTGTGTTTTGGGGCAGGTGGTGGGTTTATGTTAGTGGATTCCTTTGTTTTTTGGCAGAGAAAGCTGCCAAGTGAGTGAGACAGCAAGAGGCCGACTCGTCAAGGCATGTCGGCTCGCATAGGGCCAGGGAATATTAAATTTGCGTGTGTATGTGTTAATGAGGAAAGGTGTGGGTGTAAGTGCTTGTGCATGTCATCGTGACTGCGAACACAGACTCCCTACTACAAGCTGCCATGTGTGCGCTGTTTGTTGACAAATTTTGTCACTGCAGTTTTGTAGGCCTCGATCAAAGACTCTGCAAAAGTTGAGAAACACATTAGCATCAGTCTGCAGCTGACAGGTGGACAGCCATTAAAAATAAATCAGTCAAATCATTAGTGGCAGAAGTGATTTCCTTTCCCCTGTCTTCATTAATGCATCCCTCCATTTGAAAGCTCTAAAGAGGGGATCAAGTCCATTAGCTCCACCCTTCCTGAAACAAACTATATGGTTTTGTTCACTGTATGTGTCCGTTGATACATTATCTTTCACCCATTAATGCAGTGTTGCCAACTCAGGCCTCAGAGATGTCTCAATTGCCTGCAGGCTGAAGGGCAAGTGAGAGCGTGAACAGCCCCAGGGAGGGAGACAAGAAGTGTGGAAAGAAAAGGTTGAGGGTCTACTGTAGGGGTCAAAGGTCTGCACCAAGGGTGCCTGAGGGATCTTATCTTCAGCTGTCTGTTTACATCCACAGGAGGGCAAAAGGACTCACAGACCCAAAAGGAGAAGGATTGGAAAAGTTCAAACACCAAATAGCTCCAGATTAACTTTTAATGAGCCAGCTGCAATCTTCTCCTGGAAGATGGTTCCATAAGTACCCATGCTGGTTCACAGGTATTAGCAGTAATGACTGACATAAGATGTGAGCAGTGCTCTCGTCTCTGCTCATTAGTAGAAAAGGGTCTGGAGAGGTTTACTAACAAAACATCTACCTAAATCCATATGCGGCCTGTAGCTCCGCCTGTGCATCTGTCCGAGCTAATGAGTTGTCCT